CTTGTATGAGTCCCTGTCAGCAAGTTTCAAGAAGCTAGTTATTATGTACTATCATCAATCTCCTGACTACAGTACCTTTGTCCAAAACTGTCATTTGATAGCAGATTCTTTGCAGGGAATCGAAACTAGTTACCAGCTAGAAAAGGCAGATCGAGCTCTGAAAGGGACTGTAACCAGAACTCGAACCATTTCTATTGCGACTGCAGTTACTGCTACCGGAACGTCTGTTTCTCGTTTACCCGCTCCTACTGGAGGATATCTGCCTATGACTCCTGAAAAACGCCTACATTACTGTATAAAAGGTCTTTGCTTTTACTGCCGCGAGAAAGGATATATGACGCCTGATTGTCCAAAGAAAACTGCTCGCGCTCAATCCACTGCGCTAAAGGCCTTGGAACGCCCTAAGAACGAGAAAGCCGGGATTGAACAGGATTTAGAGGCAAAAAAAGACAGTGCTTAGGACAAGTCTCTCTTCTAAGCGGTTAAAAAGTCGATTTGTATATACTGGACTTCCGGGAACTCTTAGGTAAAGAAGAAGACAGTTTTACAATTAAAACACTTGTTTTTTATCAAGAAATGACTATAACAGCTAACACTTTAATTGACACTGGAGTCAATGCCTTTGCTTGCATAGATACAGAATATGCAATAAAACTTGCTCGACATTTCGACATCCCAACAGAACGAATAGTGGGCAACTATAGAGTTACTGGATTTAGCGGGAAAGAGGATGTTTCTCTAACTCACGCGATACTGCTGGACTTAATAGTAGATAGTCGAAAAATGCGCAAGATCCCTTTTCTTATCCTGAATTTAGGCCGATACGACATGATCCTAGGGCAGTTATGGCTCAAGAAATACCGAATTATGCCAGACTGCTATGGGAAACGCCTGCTCTGGCCAGAGATAGTTACATTACATGAAGAGGTGTCTGCAAAAATAGGTCTTCCAATCCCTGAATCTGAACTCGTGAAACCTATAATTAACCGGAAATATCAACAAGACGTGGCCCGCCGGGACAGACTTATGGAAAGCCAGGAAACGCACTATCGGGTACCGCGAGTAATGCTTCTAGACCGAAGAGATTCTTTGGCTAAGATAGATCGTGCAATTAAGGCTTTATACCTCGATCCTGAGCTCCCTAAACCCTCGAAGGAGCGGCCGAGAGTCATCAAGAAGCTTACTGTAGTAGACATTGCTATGATTGGAGCTCCAGGTTTCTACCGAGCTATATCTAGGAAGGGGAGCACAATTTTCGTAACTTCTCTAAATGAATTAGATGCTATCTTAGAGGACCGTTATCTCTTACTAGTTCCCGCTGGCGATATACCAGGTTCAGAGACTGAAGGAATCAAGGAAACACTGCTACCGCAGTACCATGACCTAGTGGATGTATTCCTGAAAAGGAATTCAGACGAGCTACCCCCGTACTGAGAAGGGTACGACGCGAAGATCGAACTTACCGAGTCTAATAACATTAATTACGGATCCCTCTATAAGATGTCTACAAAGGAACTAGAGACGGTAAAACAGTATATCGTAAACAACCTAGCGAAAGGTTTTATCCAGCTCAGTAACGCCCCATTTGCATCCCCGATCTTAATGGCTGAGAAGCCGGATAGGGGCTTACATTTCTGTGTAGATTACCGCAAGCTAAATGCTATCACGCGAAAAGACCGTTATCCTATCCCGCTGATCGATAAGGTATTAGAGCGCGTATCACGTGCGAAAATATTTACGAAGCTAGACATTCGACAGGACTTCTATCGTCTACGAATGGACCCGGAATCAGAAGAGTTAACTACATTTCGTTCCCGATTTGGAAGTTATCAGTACAAAGTTATGCCATTTGATCTCTCTAACGGGCCGGCCGTCTTCCAACGCTACGTAAATTCGATTCTATTGGACTGTCTGGACAAATTTGTTACTGCATTTATAGATAATTTACTGATATACAGCGAGAACGAGCAAGAACATGAACTACACGTCCGTATAATGCTGGAACGATTTCGACAAGCCGGGCTACAAGCAGCTATCTACAAATGTAAATTTCACGTTATCCGAATAAAGTATTTGGGCTTCATTGTCTTTACGGAAGGAATCGAGGTCGATTTAGCTAAGATTGCCGTTATCGTAAATTGGGTTACCCTTACTACAGTAAGAGGAGTACAGTCCTTCTTAGGATTTTGCAACTTTTACCGGCATTTTATACGAGGGTACAGCCGCATTACCCGTGCTCTAAATCGGTTAACCAGGAGAGACGTGCCATTTGAATAGACAAGCGAGTGCCGCAAAGCTTTTAACAAGCTAAAGGAGGCTCTAACTTCTGCCCCAATGCTCAGGCATTACGATCCCCGTTTGCCTACTAGGATAGAGACTGACGCCTCGAAGGGCGTAGTGGCCGGGATACTCCAGCAACTTCGTGAGAACCTCTGGCACCCGGTAGCATATTTCTCGAAGACTATGAATGGCGCGGAATGTAACTATAACATCTACGATAAGGAAATGCTGGCAATTGTTCGCTCTTTAGCGGAATGGCGTACTGAGCTAAAAGGATTGTAGCGTAAAGAACGTTTTAGGATTCTTACCGATTACCGGGCCCTTGAATATTTTATAACAAAGCAAAAACTGAATCGAAAACAAGCCAGTTGGTTCGAATTCCTATCCCGATTCCATTTCTTGATCAAATACCGGCCTGGCAAGGAAAATACCTTAGCGGATGCACTGTCGCGCCCCGAAGATATCCCCCAAAGTGACCGAACTGCAATACTGCTACGCCCTAAGTGATTAGAAGAAGGGGTCTCCCCTGGCATAAGAACGAAAGTAGAAGTTGCGCCTATTGATACGAGCCTTTATATTACAGACCGCGTACTCGCAGCTAACCGGAGCAGCCGGGTACTCGAGACCTATCGGGAGTTAACCCGCAAAGAGTACGTCGATTGGACTATTAACAATGAAGGCCGCCTCCTATTCAAGGAATGACTGGCCGTGGCCGAGGAAGGTAACATGTTAGCCCGATTACTAGACGAGATTTATCGATAACTATCTACTGCCCATCCGGGCCGGACAAAGACGAGAGCTTTAGTAAAAACGCGATACTATTGGCCTACCTAGGGTAGAGATACGGCCCGATATCTGGATAACTGCATGGTCTGCAAGAGAACTAACGAGCCCCGAGACCTACCACCCGGACTATTGCACTCTCTGCCGATTCCTGATCGTCCCTGGCAATACATTAACGTGGATTTCCGATCTTTTCCCACGTCTAAGAAGGGAAACGATGCAGCCTTTGTAGCAGTCTATCGACTGAGCAAACGGGCACATGCTATAGCCTGCAAAAAGATTACGACAGCTCGGGAAATGGCTTATATCTTTATTATACACTTCTATCCATAGGTTGGCCTTCCGGATTCGATCGTGTCAGACCGGGGAGGACAGTTTGTATCTGAGTTTTAGGACGAACTCTACAAGATACTATATGTTAAGGTAGTGTTTACGTCCGGCCAGCACCCGCAGGCAAATGGTCAAATAGAAGTTATAAATCAGTAGATCGCTTAACGCCTACGTCCCTTTGTATCTTACTATTAGGATGACTGAAATGATCTACTGCTAATACTGAACTTTGCATCCGCCTGCCTACCGAGTGAGACAATCGGGATATCACCATTCCTGGTAGAAAGAGGTTTTGAGCCACGCATGTCGATGGACTGGAAGGCTACTTCTAAGCCGTTAAAGTCCCCGAAGTTCGTAAACCGCAATGAAACGCAACAAGTGGCACGCCAGATCCAAGAAGTCTAGAAATATGCTAAAGAACGAATGGCTGCATCTCAAGCTAAAATGAAAAAATACGCGGACCGCAAGAGACGCGCATATACTTTCGAAGTTAGGGATAAGGTCATAATTACTACTGATGACTGGAGTCTAGGGCGCCCAAGCCGAAAATTAGCTGAGCAGGCGTCTAGCCCGCATAAAGTTATTGCAAAGGAAAGAAACTTATACCGACTTCAGCTTCCTGACAACTTAAGAGTTTACCCGGTATTCTTATCCGATAAATTGCGTCTTGCTAGCTCAACAAAGCCTCTCCCGGGACAGATTACCGATCCGCAGGGCCCGATAGACGTAAACGGAACAGAGGAATGGGAGGTCGAGAGGATCGTAATATCGCGAATATACTGACGCAAGCTGCAATACAAGGCTCACTACGTTAGCTATGACTTCGACGATAAGTGGTGGCGAGCTAGCGACTTCATGAATGCACCTGGTAAGGTAGCTGAGTATCACGAGCAATATCCCGATCGACCCAGATCCCCGAAATGCCTATCTGAGTGGCTCCGAGCTGCCGAAAATGACGAATTCCTGCTAATGACGAACGACAATAATGAGCCAGTGACGAAACGGAAATGAGGACATTCCCGAGCTTACTAGGGGGGGTTGTCACGGCCAGCGCGTGACCGTGATCACGAGATTACTGCCGTAATGTTTACCGCCTGCCAGATGCGGGCTAGCGTCTGGTGAGGTTATCCCACAACACTACGAGCCACGAACCTGTCAATAGTTTTCTTCCCCATGCTTAGATTTCCGAAATATAGCACCAGATACTTCAATAAATGTCTGCTAGGCCTGCCTTCTTAGGTATATTGAAATGCTTTGTATTTCGGGTCGCACATAGACTAACAGCTAACATTTATACTAGATATGGCTACAACAGCTACTCTCCCTCGCTAACTTCACCGTACTCGTTCAGCCCTGGCTTCTCAAACATGAAGCCGGTTCGAATCCCACTTATACCCGAACAACAGGATCGTGACTGTTGCCCAACTGTGTTGCGGTCAGTTTCACAGCAAGTTAGATATTAATACAAGGAATTGTCTGGCCAAGCCTCTGTCACCGCTACGGATTCAAATAACCATCAATTGGAGATGGCTCCTAGCAGTATCTACAATTTTGAAGTTGAGAGGCAGCTGAATTTTCCATGCCCTTCGTTTATATGTTCGCCACTCTTACCGCTTCGTCATTATCACCTCCAGGGGAGCAGCAACCGCGGTAAATGTATCTTGTTCTCCATTTAGATAGAGATCCTCCGTCTGATTCGGTGCGAAGGTCACGTTATAACGAGTGACGATCTCTGCCGTGACTCGACGAAGCTCCATTAGAGCAAGCTGCTTTCCAACACATGAATATGCTCCTGATAGATGGTGTTAGCTAAAGAGCGTAATAATGCATCGATGCGGTGTGATTGGATGACAAACCAGTACTAAATGGTACAAATATAGATGGATCCTTCACGAGCTCAGGCTGTGTAGTCCATCTCTCAGGTATAAACTCGTCAGGTCGAGGGAAGAGTCGCGCGTCTAGCAAGTTGGCTTTGTTAACACCGCAAGATCTACACAGCAGATTCAACGGACTAATCCTCACCTCTGAATAAAGAATGCATCGGTATGCTGACCATCGTGTTCCCAGGAATACATTTCTCGCCGATCATGATACCTTCGGGGGGAGTCGTGCGTTGGACGCCAGATGGTACAGCTGGATGCAGACGAAGTGTTTCATTTATGACAGCATTGAGGAGGCTGAAGGTTGCTAGTTTGTCGTAAGACAGCTCCGACTGGAAATCTTTTAGTTCCTCCTGAAGCGCCTTATAACGCGACTGGTCCCTGACAAGATAGAACAAAACATTGCTCAATGCAAAGCCGGTTGTGTCACTGATGTTCTGATTTAGCTGACTTCCATCTAGTTTGTGGTTACAAAACCAACCTTCCTGCAACAACAATAAGATATGCCTCGCCCTGGAGGTTCAGGTAATTCTGCTTGGTTTTTTCAGTCTTCTCATATGCATCCAAGATCCACGAAAATACGTCTGGTAGTTCTGGGCGATTCTATATTCCGTGAATATTAGCTCCCGATTGTTAAAATCAGCCTTAAAAAATAGTAACTTACCTTTGACCTTTCTTGGACTTGAGAATCGATCCAATTCCATTGTTTGAGGTAATCCGCGTTAATCCCTGGTGTTCTTTTGAAAAAGGGAAATAACCATGTCAAATGGCTAAAAAGACCAATCGTTTTCATATCAGTGTGCACCTGTTTCAGCAGATAGGCCTCCTGCCCAGTGCTGAGCATATCGAAAGATTTTCCGAACGCCATATCCCCCATGACATCAAAGCTCAAATAATTGAACCAAGTTGCCATGTTGATGGGGGTCCCGATTCTCTTGTCGATCGCATCCATGAGCTGACTGGTATATTTCTTAACTCGTGGCTCATAGCAACGAAGAGCTAAGCACACATCAGCGGAGATCAAGCATCTAACTATAAATGCAATGCTTACCTTGAGAGCTGAAGCCTTGATCCCAAATCTTCCTATTCTGGGAATGGGACTTTTTGTTCCTGTCCATTTGGAGGCTTATTCGCGGTTCTAATACCGTATACCAAGGCCCTTTGTGGACTTTGGTGCCAACCCCGTGCAAAACCGTTACAGCCATTGGATCAACAATAGATATTTCAGTCGGGCCTTTTTGCAGAAGGATAAGTATTAGTCGCAGAGGCAACACAGAATACATGAAAAAGTCTTACCGATGCGAATGTAATCCCCATACTGTCGATGCAGCTTCTGTACTTCATTGTATAATTGCAGCTTCTTCGCCGAAAGAGCAGTCACATAGAAATTTGACAGTCGGGCGAAAAACGGGCCGGGGAACTCAGAGAGACGGTGGAAGAACCCTCGATAAATGAGCATACTAATATAAATCCCCGCGATATGCCAAAGGACTGTGTTGACAAGAGGAATAGAGTATGGGGCACCAGTCCAGGCTGCAGCATGCTCCAAAATCACCGCGCTCAGCAGTATGGAGGCGTAGGACACAAATATAGCCGGAGCATGCAGGTCCCATTCGCCATGACGATAGATCAGTATGTGGGCACTGATGCCACTTATACCACCAAGGGCCAACAGCTTGTGAGACGTTTCAAACAGCATCCCTTGCAGTGATAATATGCGAGGAGAATAAATCTGAAATTTTGACGGGATCTTTCTCCGATTGAGGGGTCTGCACGTTATGATAAATAGTAGTGCGAACCCCTGCAAGCTCAAGTGGCCAATTAGCAAGACTCGCTTAGAAAAGTAGGTCATCCGACGCAATCTTGTGTTCGAGGCCCAAGTGGGGATTTGACAACTCAGCGATATCTATCATATGACAGTGCAGGGGTCTTGAACTTTCCCCTCTTTACGTTACCAGGGAAACTATCTGACGCATGGGTCTTTTTTCTTCTTTCTGTAAGGGACAATATAGGATTTATGAATATATTTAGAAATTTCGATATCTGTTATCACTGTGACGGTCTACAAAGGAGCTTAGTAAAAGACAAGTTTGTTTATGACTCGTAGTCAAAAAATTTTCCCATGGAGAAGAAAGGCTATCTATGAGGGAGGATCTATCCTTTACATACTAGCTGAGGCTTTGCCTCAGGTAGGAATGCCTACCGGAGGGTCCTCCATATCCGGAAGTTCGTATCGGGCAGTCCTTGGCTCAGGAGATAACAATCACAGCGTACTGGAAATGTAAGTACTTCGGAATGAAAATTGTATAACTTTATATAGATGAACGACTTTTTTCCGACCTGTACTTAGGCCGCACTCGCATAGGTACTCGCAAATCTTCGCGATATGATTTCATTACGTTATTGGATTCAGCTTTTCCAGAATACTCTGCTATTTAGACCGCTCAGTCCAAGCTGGGTTACGATGCTCCAGCAAACTTCTAGTCTTGTATAAAATTATCATTCTTTTTTAAACAGCCAGAATACCTATTTTTGAGCAATTTTTCAGAAGTTGGTATTACTTTCATGTCGATATACCCTGTCTATGCCTATTTTTCAACAAAATTTCCTGTGTTTATACCTAAGTGCTCGTTATCTTCTGCTCTGTCTAAAGTATATGGGGAATGCGCTATCTCGTATGTGGCGACTGTCGAGCTACTTTTGTTTGTAGGATTATGGCGAAGCATACTCCGTGTAATGTGGGTTAACTAGTCAGTATAGATGCTCGCTTTTACTTTGCCTCTACTGGTTTTAGTGTTTAGTATTACTCCTGTTTCTTCTCCATGTATAGAGCTTGGATTTCCTAGGTGAGGTAGCATTCCACCCGGTCGGATGATTCTTCTCTTCGACGACCTACTGCGCGTCTGGGGGTGCAGCTGACCAGCGTTATATCCTATGATCTTTATGGTTGATTGTTGACCTATGATCCTTTGTATACCGTAAGTGTACTCTTTTAGCTCGACGGTTTATTGCTGTATACGTCTACCGTACGCTTTCGATCTCCGGAAACCCTGGAATAGTAAATAAACGAAGGCGCGAGAGCGGTACAAATATATCCCCACAGGATTAAGCTACAAACTCAAGATAAAGATACTTTAAGGTCCTTGAACTCAGCGTCCCTCGATTCCGCTGGTATCGGAAGAAATGTCGATCTCAACGAGAAACTCCCGGCTTCGAGCTTCTAACATAGTGTAATCATCATAAAGATTCACCATATGAGTAACGCGCTTAAAAATGTCATCGTCCTTGGGATAGAGCTCTCTGTTTGACAATCGAAGCCTGGCAAGTGCATTGGTGATCCGGATCGTATTGATATACTTTTGTGCACCTTGTAGACCTCGTTAGTTGTGGGACAAAAGTCAGTGTCAGATGAATACTTACCCAGTGCCTCCACCTGCCCAGGTCCAAGTCAATATAGTTGCTTGAACTTGGCCCAGTCTGTGCGTGGTTTCCTGTCGATAAACAGTCTTGCATCCAGCACAACCTGTGCTTCAAGCATTGTGAGTGGGCCTGATGGGCTCGCTGAATGAACCTGCATAGGACCATCTCCGTCACAATCATCTAATATGTTGTTCCAGCATCTCTCGCGGGCTCCGAGGTAGTGGTCACTGATGGGTCGGAAGCAAACCGACTCAACCCTGAGTTGGGCTATCTGACTTTGCTGGCTTGCGTAAAGATCGGCCAACCGGGTAATCGCTTCCTATTGGCTAGAATGAACTTCGTTCATCTGTGAATTCCGTTTAATGAGATATTCAATTTTCTGGGCGAGCTCGTGTATTTTGGCGTTTAATTCGGCCTTTGTAGCAGCAGTTCGTTCCTTGATGCTGGATGTTTCTGTCTTCAAATTTTCAAACTGTTTGTTACGCTCCCAAAACCGATAGACATCTGTGTCTATTCCATCAACTCTGTGCCGCGAGGCCTCAGCACGAAGCTGGGACAGATCGTGTCTGAGATGGGCGAGCTCTCGGTTAAAATTGCGGATATTGGGATCGACCATGACCGGCATCGTGATGTTGAGCTGAATTGTTTGGTGTTTGGGACCGAATATAGGCACAGGTATCAGAGAATTATATTTGATTCCTAGAATGGCGTGTATGGGCAAAGTGAACCGGAGGAGATACAGGCAGTTAAGTAGTTGGCTGGTAAATACTAAATGCCTGCGCCTTCGCATGATCCCGTGTTGACGTCGACGGAAATCCTTTGTTGAGCTAGTCACAGACCAATCCGTCGACGTCGAAAATAGTTATTTCGTTAAACCGTTGTAGCAGAAAAGCTTAGCGGTAAAGAGGGTTTTGATTTCCAGTGGTACAAGACTGGCATGTCCTTCAATGCTCGCAAACACTATGTTTTTATTGGTGACCTCTCGCAGTCAAGGTAGGAACAGGAACGTGTACAGTTTGGCCGTAATGGGTCACCTGTCGCTGCAGTCTTATGCGTACACGCATTAGACTGTAGCGCCAGAGAAAGCCCATCCGCGCTCCCTTGTAGGGAGGCAATGTGTCTGTATTGCAGTAATTTCTATATACAGAGAGAAGGTGAGAGGGACAAAATCGAGTCTTGACTGCGTGAGAGATGACGAGCTACTACCAGAGGCAAATAACTGACTCTTGTGAGGCAGTTGTAGGAGGGAAGAAACCCCTAGGAGGGAAGAAGCCCTCCTCCGAAAAGTCGGTATAGATATCACGTGGGCAACGTGAGGCAACCCCAATAAAACTTCTCCCTTTATTGGTGACCTCTCGCAGTCAAGGTAGGAACAGGAACGTATACAGTTTGGCCGTAATGGGTCACCTGTCGCTGCAGTCTTATGCGTACACGCATTAGACTGTAGCGTCAGAGAAAGCTCAAATGACCCGGGCCAAACTAGGATGGTGGAGGGGACGGTGGAGGAAGTAGTAGAGACAACGGGGCTGGCGAGCCTGTCTGAAATTGGTGATTGAGCTTGTACAAAACTGAGGAATTCGTAGTAAAATATACTCTGAATGCCTCCGAGGTCCATCTCCCGAGCACCTGGATCTGATCGTTAAGGATTCCACTATCGTGAGCATGTTGAGCCGCACCCTTCCGAAAGCTATGGCCCGAGTAACCGTCCGTCTGTATCCCAAGTGCTCTCAGCTTAGTGGATAAGGTAGAGAGAAAATAGTTGCGACTAAATAGTTTTCGGTAGAAGGAGAATAATGGGGTATCAGGCTCTTTAGGATCGAGAAATAATAGCTTTTGAAGTGCGTCTACTGGGCACGTTTCATCTCCTGTTTTTGCGAGAACAATCTGTATTCCTTCGTGGCGGCGGTCTGTCTTACTCCGTTTAAGTGTAAGTTGCACATGATCTAACGAGGATGAGAATCTGACGTCAGAGCGTGTAAGATTTGTAGCTAAAAAAATAGAGCGTGTGTTAAGATCTTCTGCCTTATAGGTGAATTCTCCGAGGCGGAGGAAACCAGCAAATGCTACCCGGCAGGCAGTTGCAAAATTCAAGTCATCTAGAAGGTTCGGGGTCATCTCGAGGGGCTGTAATGGGAGTGAAGCTAGGCCTGCGGATAGTTTCGCGATAATAACACGCGAAATCGGTTTCCTGACTCGAACTTTTGTGATAGGATTAAGTCTTCTAGCACCATCTATAAGGCGTCGAAAGTGCTTATTGTCAAAGAGTTTATCGTCAAGAAAGTTATCGGTGTGGTAGGATCGCAGAGCGGCTAGATCGGCCAGTGCAGTGTCGGGTTTAACGGCCTTTTGGTTCGAGTTGCCCAGGAGTCGTAACGATAGCCACGAGATTAACGATGTCTGGAGGCTGGCCATGCTGAGAGATTTTGTAACGCGCAGTGCTTTTCGTGGTTACACTGAACAGAGAGATATACGGCACGCGTATTGGCACTAAGTCCGTTCCAGAGCAGTTTCAGGTGTCCTGTATTGAGCTGAGGAGCTCGTGAAGAGAACCACGCGGGCGGTTCAATACCGAGAGATCCTGCCAGTGGGGGCAAATATTAGTGTTGGAACGATGTTATCAACCAGACCAGAGAAGTGGAGTATCTTGACCTAATCCACATACCGCACAGCACCTTGCTTGGCCTAGACTTGGCCTACCATTCTAAATGGCATACCAAGGGATCAGGAATGCATAGGTGTAAACAAGTGGGACTATAAATAGCTAGGCAGATTGTAGTTTAGAATGACACTTCACTTTTACCCACCAAGCATATACCTATATTCAGTTGAATCGATAGGATATCTGCTTAGGGCAATGACCAAGTCAACCGACAATAACATCCTATATTATACCCTTGCAGGTAACATACCCTTGGCGAGGTTGTTCCGCTCTTTTTGTGCCGGAAAAGGGGGAGGGAATTGGAACAAAATGTCACATTGCGGGATTGAATGGACGCGGCATATATCCTTAAACGACGGCAAAGCTATACCCCCGATAGATACATCCACTAGGATATCATCATAGCGTGTCGTTCTATTCCACATCATATATCTATCATATTATACACCTTGACACCTTTTCTCACAATAAAATGGCCATGTCAACGGAGATTACAGACCTTACAGGGGCTATCAACAACGAAAGTCAGGAAATAGTCCGATTCCTCAACAAAAACGAGAGCAATCGATGCTCTGATGCCAAAAGCCCTCACTTTCCCCCTCTGTCGCCCGAAACAGCGCACCTTCATGATGCTCGAATGGCGCTATGTAGCGCCGCAACTAGGCTCATCCAGCTTACCCTGGAGCCTCACGAGCATGTTAGCACTCTCTGTGCAGGGGTAAATCTCTTTGGCCCTTCTCCTCCGTACTGCTGTGAGCTTCATGCTAAAAAAAGAAAACAATGCACCAGTTTCACACCTCATCTGCCTTGCGTATTGTCTATAAGTTCCAGATTGCGAAGGCTGTTCCGCTACTGGGCAGTACTAGCTACGAGACGATTGCCGAAGCAGTCAACCTAAGGGTGCAGGCAGTCGAGCGTGTCATAGGTCTCTTGACGTTGAATGGCATATTCCGCCAGCCTGCGTCTGGGCGTGTAGCCCACGGTCGTCTCTCGTATCTCATGGCTACAGACGCTCAATTCGACGCCTATATTGGATTATGCTTCGACGACTCCTTGATGTCAAGTGTACACATTGCTGACGCGTTAGTTAAATGGGAACAAAGTCAGGAAAACACCGAGGTTGGATGGAACATTGCTAATAATACAACAAATACTTTCTGGCAGCACCTCGAGAATAATACTGCAGACCAGGAGCGTTTCAGCAAGGCCTTTACGTACGAGGCTTCGACTCAGCATTTAGAAATCCAGACAGTCCTAGAGGGCTTCGACTGGGAGTCCCTTGGGGACGGCACAGTGGTTGACGTATGTTGGAGCGCCTCTCCCTCCCTCCCCTGCTCCACCTTCTTTGTGAATGTTCACAGTAATCTGGTCATATAACACAGGTGGGCGGATTTCAGGGGCTTATCAGCAGACAAATTGCACGACATTTCCCTCGACTCCAGGTAATTGTACAGGACTATGAGGTACATTGCCAGCAAGGACAAGAATCGCTGCCAGCCGAACTCAAGGATCGGATGAAGTTCCAAGTCCATGATATGTTCCAACCCCAGAGTCCGATTTCCGATAGAACAGCAGTATATTTCCTACGCTTTATCCTTCACGACTGGAGTGATAAATATGCTTGCAAGATCCTACAGGCCATTCTGCCTGCTATGAAACCGGGAGATCGCATTGTGGTCTGTGACCAGCTCATTCCTGCGTCGGAAGCAGCCGACTCGTATATCGAACAGTTCAAACGGTGAGTGAACAAACAATCAGGAATCAATTTGTTCATCGAGAGCAATTAAACTGACCATTTTATCAATTAGCGTGAACGACTTTGACATGTGGGCGACGTTTAATGGACAAGAGAGGAAGCTTGCCCATTTCAAAAATCTAGCCAAGATGGCCGACCCGAGACTGAAAGTGATGCGCACCAGCACCCTGCATCCTCTGGCTCCATCTCTACTTGAATTTGCATTTGCGGAAGACTAAGAGTATCTGGAAGTAATCATGCCCGTGATCCGTGTCTTCGTGTGATGCTCCTTGATACGAATCCATGGGATTACGTGATCTAGCGGCTTGGCCCGCATAGGTACTCGAACCCCTGAGGAACTTACCCCTTTATCCATAGAGAAGAAGAGATCAATCGCAATGAAAAAGGCATTCGCTCCTTAGTAGGCTACGTGCGTATAGCTGATACAGTGTCATTCTGCCCTCCTTCCCCTGTGCATTTCACAACACTCCTTCGGAGGGGTTTTACATGGTCAACTTTGAACTTACAACTGTACATTCAGCTAGACCTGGCTAGGAACCGCGAGTGAACCTCACGAACCTCAAGGAGGTTCACCCACCCGGAGGTTAAGGTTCCATGACCTAGAACCTCCGGGCGGTTCCATCTTGGACCGAACCTCATGGAGGTTACCCGCGGGTGAACCTGAGGTTCAACAAACATGACAAACAGGTAAAAAACGTGACTTGAGATCAATTGTATAAGTTATATAGAAACAGGCTGTATTCTCTCGTAATTATAAACCAAAACTTCATTACTGTATGGTTTTACAGGAGGATTTAGTGTATATCATGGGTTTAGCTTCGAATTAGGGTTTCAACTTTCAATTATCAATGATTTACATTATATCTATAGTACAGTGTCTGGTTATAGTTCTGAAAAGTCAAAAGTCAAATAATTAAGCTATATATCTATCTAGTAGTCTCGACTTTTTCCGTATTTTACCTAATATACGATGCTGCGTATCAGGGAAGTTAGATAAGGGTAATACCTTATTCTCATCTAGATCCGCAAATTTGTGACGGTCTACAAAGGAGCTTAGTAAAAGACAAGTTTGTTTATGACTCGTAGTCAAAGAATTTTCCCATAGGGAGGAAAAGGCTATCTAGGAGAGAGAATCCAGGGACTCTATATACTGCCTGGAGCTTGCCTCAGGCAGGAATGCCTGCAGGATCCCTAGGAATGTTCCTGGATGCCTGCCGCAGAGGATCCCTTGATCCTCCGGAACGTTCTCCCGTACAGGAAAGCCCCCTGGCTTCAGGAGGTAACAAAATTTATCAATATTAGAGTCTTTTTTATCGTTAGAAGTAACCGTAGGCCGTTTTCTAGCGGCAACTGCTGAAAGTAACAGTACGTCCAGAATTGCTTGCGTAATTGATATAGCAGTCGGTATATCAAGATATATTTTGACGTTTTTCTTATTATTACTGATAGCCTCGAAAATATATGTCTAGACATCAAATGTTTCGGCTGAAACGGCTATCTTATAATTTAAAAGATACTCTTGGAGAATCAGCCGCTGTTCCTCCTTGATATCGAATCTTGTTGTACATATATATAACATGATATCGCGAACGGTCTCTGGATTCAATAACTTCCGGCAGTAATAATATATATCCCAGGTAGAGTTAAAAAGACGTTTAACTCCGGTATCAGTCGCTAGAATTAATATAATATTACGGGCAATGTTTGCAAGAATAGGGAATTCCCTCTGATAATCTTTCTAGAAGATCCGAATAGATCCTTTAATAGTGTGACCTCCTGAAGTTAGGGAACTTCCCGGTGTGGAGGAACGTTCCAGAGGAATATTCCGGTTAGTTAGTATAGGATCTAGGGACCCTCCGGTAGGCATCCAGGGACCTTCCTGGATGCTCTGCAGGCCTTCCTGCCTGAGGTAGAGCCTCGGGCAGTATATAGAGCCCCTACATCCTCCCTTCCAGATAGCCTTTCTTCCCTATAGGAAAATTCCTTGACTCAGAGTCAAAAACAAACTTGTCTTATATTGAGCTCTTTTGTAGACCGTCACATAATTTTCCCATCTTCTTTTTTCTTTTACTTCAAGCAGATACACTAAAGGCATATCACTGAGCAATCAGTAGGTATAAAGCCTTGTAATCCGTTTGAAACCCTTACCCGTGAGGCAACTACACGACAACCCGGTTGTACCAAGACCAGAATGAATCCGACAATTCCCCTTCACGCATTTGCGCGTCAGGGCGAGCCCGTAAATGATCCCTAGGACCTTCAGGACAACTCGTCCTCCCATGTTCAGTCAATGGAGGAACAGGATGAAGGTTTCCTTGAAGAACAAGAACTGTTCCATGATTCGGAACAGGTAATAGATGACATTGATATCGATCGAGCCCCTATAACAAAAGAAAGATTCATGAAAGAGATTATGAAAGACCCAAACGTGGTCTATGAAGTTATGACTGCCTTTCACGAGCTTAAAATCAAAGAAACGAACCGTGCCCAGAACACCATCCGGACGCTCAAGAAAGAGAATGAAACCCTATCTGCTGAACGAGACACTTTTGCTATAAAATGGGCCCTCTCTAGGGACCGAACTGGCACCTTTAGTAGTTACCGATCTACCAAAATCCCTGATCCGCCGATGCTGAGTAACGGCAAAGACCCGACCTTTGAGAATTGGCAATTAACAATCTATCAGAAAATGACTGCTAACGCTGACCACTATCCTACTACTGAGCTTTGTATCGCCTACGTAACTAGCCGCTGCGAAAAGGATGCGCGTCGGCATATATCTCCTCGTCTCTTGACCCAGAACTACCGTAATTTCGGTAAGATCCTGAGCCACCTGAAAAGCATCTTCGTGGATCCAAATAAGGCCCGTAATGCCCGCCGAAAGTTTAACTCCATAAAGATGGCTGCTTTTAAGGACTACTATACCTTTGCCTCAGAGTTCCAATATCTCGCGGTTGAAGGACAGATCGATCGTAACACTTGAAAGGAAAGCTTCTTCTTTGCCTTTCCTGATAAAATACAGCGGATAGTAACTTACGTTTTTAATGATAATAACCGAACCTTTGAGGACTTCACTTACGAATGTGCCAAGGTGGCTGACCTCTAGGCTGACCTAAAGAAGTGCAGAAATAACAAGAACGCAGCCCGAGACAGTTCTAAGTCTTCGACCCCGAATAAGGAAGCCAGCCCGCGTCCTGCTCACTATATTAAAGGCGAAGAGAAAGACCAGTTAATAAAAGAAGGAAAGTGCTTTATCTGCAGGCAGTTCGGTTATCTCGCTACTGACTGTTCCTAAAAAGGTTCTTACTTCTCTCAGGTACCCAAACGAGAGCTGAAGGCTTTAGAAAAGGCCCCCGAGCAGCCCTCTGCTGAGTCAAAAAACGAGAAAGCCTAGGTCAAGACTCCTACCTAGGTTTGATGTATCAATCTCTGTGTGAAATGAATATCTCAGCGGAAGACCTACTCGGGCACAAAGACGATAGTTTTCTAGTTCCAATTCAATTAGCTATTAATGGATATTCAGTTGCTACGCACGCATTGATCGATACTGGAGCCAACGGACTCAGTTTTCTAAATTACGATCTCGCTATTTTACTCGCTAAACGATTCGACTTACATACTATCCCCCTGCCAAACAGCGTGCCAATTAAGGGCTACAATGGCCGCAAAGGAGGTGATATCACTCATGCAATTATATTGACTCTAATTATCGATTAAAGAATGCAGAAGTTGCCTTTCTTAATCGTGGACCTCGGCCAGAATGACGTAATTCTTGGCAAGAAATGGCTGCAGGTTTACCGAGTTCTACCTGACTGCAGCCGCAACCGATTGCTGTAGCCCGAGGCGACTACATTGCAGGAACAGGTTCAGGCCCAGCAGGGCATCGTGCTACCCAAGGCGATCCTGCAGAGGCCGAAGGTCAACCCTGAGCACCAAAAGGATATGGTACGCAGGGATCGAGAAATGGATCAGGAGATCAACCGACGGGATCAAGAGATGCATATTCGCAAGAACAGGTTCAATACCTACCAAGAGAATACTGAACGAGCTCTATCCCGCATGAAACGGGCGTTTGAGAAGGCCCAGAAAGACCCTAAACCGGCTCCAGAGCAAACTTCTAACAGTCCTAAGGCTGCTAAAAAAGACCTTTTAGAGATTGATATCTTTGAGATCAGCGACTCTGCCTACCAGCTTTATCTCGGTAAATCAGACTGTTTTATTACTTCGCTGTCGCAGATTAACAAGATAATTGATGAAAAGACCTACCCTGAGCGCGTACTGGAAATTGAAAAGTTGAAAGAACAGATTCCTAAGGCCTATTACGGTTTTGTAGATATATTTTTGAAGTCAGAATCAGACACGCTGCCTCCGAGAAGGGAAAACGATCATCAGATTGAGCTTACTGATAAGAATACGCTAGAATATAGTCCCTTATATCGGTACTCTGCAAAAGAGCTAAAAGCGATCAAAGCCTATCTAATAGAGAACTTACAGAAAGGCTTTATCGTTCTTAGTGCTGCCCCGTTCGGCTCCCCCGTACTAATGACTGCGAAGCCAGGAGGAGGTTTACGGTTCTGCGTAAACTACCGGAAATTAAACTCGATTACGAAAAAAAATCGCTATCCTCTACCCCTGATGGATGAGCTGCTGGATCGGCTAGGCCGTGCAAAGATTTTTACTAAATTTGATATCAGGCAGGGCTTCTACCGCATCCGAATGCATCCCGATTCAGTGGATTTGACTACATTCCGCACCAAGTATGGGTCCTATAAATACCAAGTCTTGCCTTTTGGCCTGACCAATGGACCCGCAGCCTTTCAACAGTTGATGAATGACATCTTTATTGATCTGATTGACAAGTATATGGCAGTGTACGTAGACGATATCCTAATATTCAGTGAGGACGAGCTCGAACATGAGGCCCACGTCCAAGAGGTCCTGAAACGATTCCGCGCTGCAGGCCTCCAGGCTGCTATTCACAAGTGCGAATTCAGTGTAAAAAGAACTAAGTTCTTAGGCTTCATCCTGACCCCGGATGGTATTGAGGTTGACCCTGAGAAGGTCGCAGTGATCACTAACTGGCAGGTCCCTACCACAGTTAGAGGAGTCCAGTCGTTTCTCGGATTCTGTAACTTCTATCGACGTTTTATAGAGGCCTACAGCAGGATTGCTAGACCACTGTATATCTTAACGAAGAAACTGGCTTCCTTTGAATGGACCTCCGGCTGCCAGAAAGCTTTTGAGCAGCTAAAGAGGCATTTGACTTCGGTACCTCTCCTGCGGCATCACGACCCAACCCTCCCGTCCAGGATTGAAACAGACGCCTCAGACGGGGTAGTCGCTGGCATATTCTCCTAGTTATTCGAGGGTAGGTGGTACCCAGTTGCCTACTTCTCTAGGAACATGCTCGGCGCTGAGCGCAACTACGATATCCATGATAAGGAGCTCTTAGCTATAGTTCGAGCCCTAGAACTCTGGAGAACGGAGCTTGAAGGACTTCAGACCACTGAACAGATAGAGATCTGAACTGATTATAGGGCCCTTGAATATTTTATAATTACTAAAAAGCTGAATGGGCGCCAGGCCCGGTAGTCAGAGTTCCTTTCCAGATTCCATTTTTTGATCAAGTTTAGGCCCGGACTGAAGAATACGGCTGCTGACGCCTTATCTCGACCTGAAGAGAGCTCTACAGACCTAGATACAAAGAATCAGGCTCTCCTAAGGCCAGAATGATTGGATAAAGGGGTTCTGCCTCCGCAGGCTACCGAATAGGAGCTATCTGCTATATCAACACTTCTCGCTCCTATAGAGTTGGATAACGTTCAGTTAATGGACCGTCTACTGCAGGCTAATCGAGCTGTAGCTAACCTTGATAAAGAAAGGGCTACTGCTGCTGATGCTAGAGGCGAGTCAGAGTGATCCTTACAGGAAAGGCTGCTCCTGTTTCAAAATAAGCTCGTGGTTCCTGAAGATGGTGACCTTCGCACCCGATTACTTGACATGATTTACCGACAGCCCTCTACGGCGCATCCAGGACGAACCAAGACAGAAACTCTAGTGAAGAACCGATACTGGTGGCCAGCGTAGCGTTACGACGTGAAACGCTACGTCGCTAATTGCTTGATATGCAATTGAACTATTACTAAGAGAGATCTGCCTCTAGGGCTACTTCAACCTCTCGATATCCCAAATCGCCCCTGGGAGCACATTTCTATGGACTTTCGCTCCTGCCCGAAGGACAGGCACGGCTTTGACGAAACCTGCGTAATCGTGGATCACCTAACGAAACGGGTAATTTCGATTCCTTGCCATAAAAATGTATCCGCAGTGGATATGGCTCAGCTCTTCCTTGAAAATATATATCGATGGGTAGAGCTGTCAGAATCAATCCTTTCGGATCGTGGAAGCCAGTTTGTCTCTGCCTTCTGGGAAGAGCTCTGCCTGCGGCTTAAAATCAAGCGCAGACTGACCTCGGGACAGAAGCCTTCTACGAATGGTCATACAGAGATCGTCAATCAGTATTTCGCCCAGAAACTCCGCCCCTTTGTAAACTATTATCAGGACAACTGGTCAGAGTTACTGCCGGCTATGGACTTTGCCTACGCTATCCTTGAACACGAGTCAACCGGGCTGTCCCCCTTCCAAGTGAAACGTGATTACGAGCTTCGGGTCTCCTTTGACTGGATCTCGCTCTCAAAACCTCGGAATAAGCCCCAGGACCAAGCTGAAGCTCGCCGGACTGCTCGCAGTTTAGAACAGATCTGGGACTACACTAAAGGGCAGATTCAACTGGCTCAGGCGAAGATGAAGAAGCAAGCTGACAAGCATCGAAGGCCAGTAGATTTCAGGGCCGAAGACTGGGTCTACGTAACTACTAAGGACTGGGAGTTAGGCCGTCCGAGCCGCAAGTTCGGCGACCAATGGGCTGGCCCGTATGAAATTATCGAGCAAATTGGATATGCCTTTAAGTTTCGCCTGCCTTCTACGCTCCAAGTTCATCCTGTTTTCGCGCCAGAAAAGCTCCGAAAAGTGACCGATTTGACGCCAATGCCGGGTCAAATTCGTGATCCAAAGCCCCCAATTGAAGTGCAGGGCGAGCCTGAATGGCTCGTAGATAAGATTCTTGCTTTTCGCATGTATAATAAAAAGCTCCGATATCGCGTGCAGTGGGAGGGACATCCTCCTGACCCTGCATGATATCCTGCTTCTAATTTCCGCAACGCTCCACTGAAGCTGCAGGAATTCTACAATCGATATCCTGAGAAGCCTGGTCCGCCCCGGCGTCTGGCTAACTGGCTCGCTGCTGCGGCCAATGATGAATTCCTTGACGAACATAATGACGACAATTTACCTATTTAGGCTTGCTTTTGAGCGGGCTGGGGACCAGCCCTTTCAAAAGGGGGGGGTATTGTGACCTCCTGAAGTTAGGGAACATTCCGGTTAGTTAGTATAGGATCTAGGGACCCTCCGGTAGGCATCCAGGAACCTTCCTGGATGCTCTGCAGGCCTTCCTGCCTGAGGCAGAGCCTCGGGCAGTATATAGAGCCCCTACATCCTCCCTTCCAGATAGCCTTTCTTCCCCATGGGAAAATTCCTTGACTCAGAGTCAGAAACAAACTTGTCTTATATTGAGCTCTTTTGTAGACCGTCACAGAATCTAGGTTCCAATTACTTGTTAAAAAGAACTCTATCTTGTTTGACGGCATTAGAATCGTTCTAATTGCGTAAAGATTATTTTCGATATTATCTGTTTTATTATAATATTTTTTCAGTTTCTCTTTCGCGGCCTCGAAAAAGAAAAACATTAATTGTTTTCAAGAAATCTTCTTTTAACGAAGCTGACGCATCGATATTTCAAAATAATCGAAAAGCTTATTGTAAATCTTAAAAACAAGGTAGATACTCGAGTCTTTAGTACAATAAACTAGCGTAATAAACGTAAAAAAGAGCTAAAGAATATAAAGCAGATAGTCAATCTGTTATTACCTCTCTGTATTCAGTATAAAATGGTATTGATTATAGTCGGAACAGAACTTGTTAAATGCAATATAAAGCTTTTTCGCCCGTTAAAGCATTAGAAATGTCAAATTCTACCGTATACGAACATCCTGGATTAGAAGAAGCTTTAGTATATTACTAGACTGGGTTTTTAGAAAGGCTTCTTTGCGTTAAGGGTTTCCGTTGATATAAACCGCAAGACCTCGAACCTATCAGGAACCAGAATAGTTAGTGTTATTGAAATATAATTCATGATTTATAAATAGAAGTATACCTTGTTCAGAATATCAGCAATCTTATATTTCTGCTGGTGTGTACAAAATAAATGTATATAATCATTAGACTATTCTATTTTAGCGTTATTATTCTTTGGCGAAACCTTAATTTTACTAAATAAATTAACTAGACTCAATTAAATAATATACGCAAGACAGGGCACTTAAACGATCGTAGAATCTGTTTCTATCTGTAGCTTCTTGATTGAATCATTTATTGCTGCAATAAGTATCTTATTGTTAAATGTATTATTAGTTATTACTGCTAGTACTCAATCAGCGATTTAGTACTTCTGTAGGATCTAGAGAACTATGTCCCCGAGGTTCACACCAGTATGAGATCCAGAAATTGGCTCAAACCCAAGTAAGATCTTACGATACTTCCATTCCTGGTCTAGGAAGTATCCTGTAATAGTTATAAATGCGTATTTAAATGGTAAAGTCCAACAGTCAAACGCAATTAACATTTTTGCACTAGATAAGAGCTGTTGTAGTGTCTCTTGTTAATATTCTATAATAAAATTTCGAAGGCGGTCACAAATTATCTTTTTTAATAAAACGTTTGATAGTGTAAGTACAAGCCGTACATAAAAAAGGAAATTATAGAATTCTTAGTACTTAACGAAAAGAAAAGGTAAATGTAATACAATAATTAGGTTTAAAATCTTCTGTTCCCATATTTATTAGATAAAGGTAGGCGCTGGTCTTCTCTCAGCCTAAAAGATAGTTAATTCATTATTAGTATTAACGTTAAATATAGACTATTTCGAATATACCGCGTCACTAAGTAGTTACTGGATATTACCCTTTTTCGTAATTTGCTATCGATATTTTGGCCTATCAAGATGCTTCTGCATCGATAAGTTTCCAGTATAATTTATAGCTGGATGCGTAAAAACTGTACGGTACCGATTGCATATAATATCAGGCTTTCTATCTTTAACATATGTAACTTGTTGAAACCCAGTCTAGCAGTTTGCACGACGGTTAACTTTCTAGTTTAACCGCTTCTTTTTATTAAAATCGGTTTGAAGCTACCATTTAATGAATTCCGCGGATATGTCGATTGTAAAGACGATATACTCGTTAATGCTATCCGGCTTGATTCGCGTAAAGGTGTCTGGGGCCCGAGATCTTGCGCGAGATCGGACTTGATTGTCTAGAAGGTCTGAAAGGTCTAGAACTGAATCAAACTGGCTTTCAGAAGGTAATTGACTCTGGTTTTCGCGTTAGGATAGCGTATCGTCTGGGATAAGGTATTGCAGTGCATCTAGTAGTAACCTTTCGAAGCTAGATAATGCGTAGCCGTAAACGTCGGTAATCTAAGATATAATAAATTCAGTAAACTAGTATAACTTGGGGCGGAAGATAATAAGAGACTTACTGATTATTTTATAGAAGTTACGGAATATTTTTAGGGCATCTATTTGTCCCTGTTCTATATACTCAAATTGATCTATCAACTTTTGTATCTATCTATCTATATCTGATTCGCTAGTATAGTGGATCACTATAGAAACAAATCTCAATAAACCTCAACGAACCTCAACAAACCTCAACAAACCTTAACGAACTTTAACGAGAACCTCATTTACCCGCATAAAACCTCTAAGAGAACCTCAATATAGGAAAAACAGAACGTCCAAGTCCAACAATTAAGATCTTTAAACCGGATTTACGGTATACCTAGATTATCTAACCTAAATTCTTGAAGATAAAGTGATAGAAGAAGACATAACGGTTTAAATAATATAAAATTGAGGGAATTTGAACTGCGTCTTTATAGTTTTCTTAAAAAACAGTAATTTTACTGATGAAGATACACATACTTTACAGTGTCTGCAATATATATATCTATAACTTTACATGCTATTTTATCGATGACCTCTATTGACTACTTACCACGTCAATATCATCAAATATTACCTGTAATTTGTAGCTGACCACGCCTACTGTTTACTTTTGCATGACTATTTCTTTATAATTCATTATGTTGATAGAGTATTCAGTGAAAAGTCTACAAATTGACAAAACAGCTGTAAAAAAGAAAAATAAATTATCAATTTTATCCGGTCAAAAGAGGAAAGGCGTCAAGAAATTATGCATATGTAGGTTTATACGGGTCAATGGAGGTTGAACCTCAACGAACCTCTGGAGGTTAATGGGCGGTTGGAGGTTAGGAAGGTTGGAACCTCACCTCAGGAGGTGAGGTTCGAGGTTCCGGAGTAGGGACCCATGCGGAGGTTCAAAGCCAGGTCTACATTCAGCCATCAAGCAGAGAATCAGGAGCTATTACAGATGCTATTTTCAATTTCGTTTCCTCTGAATTTATTTCCACGAGACTCACCCATTTACTATCTAATTATTTGTTACTATTACTCATTATTCTTACCTCGCCTTATTTTAAATCTTAATTCTACTTACTCGTAGTGGTAGGGATCCTCTGCTGCTGGCTCAGAACCAGATCAGCCGGCTACAGAGCATCCAAACTCAGCTTGAGAGCCTGCGAGATCAGCTCACAACTCTGAGAGACGGCGTGAGTCGCACAGGACCATAACAGACCGGTCAGTGACTAACATAGGGCCTGCTATAGTTATTCAATGTCAGCGCAGTCATCGAATCCAGAGCGGCTACCGAGCTCGGAGAGAATGACAAGCTTCTCACGTACGTGAGCATAGTCTATCTGCCTCTTAACTTCTGCGCAGCTCTCTGGAGCATAGACCTTAGCTACCACCCAGTTGTCTTCACACTCGTCATAGTGCTGCTCTCAACTGCGACGTACCTGATTGTGATAAATCTTAACAAACTCGTCCGCTCGGGCCGGGCTGTGTACACACAAAGTAGAAACCAATGCCACCCCTCCGGACTCTTCTCTATATTTTATCGAGTAGAGAAGTAGAGACAATAGCCACATAATGGCTCTGAATGTAAGCGTCGCTCACAAGATCAACATGATCATCGCTAACGGGTCTAGGCTCGTGCTTTTCAGGATGTCGACATCAAGAGGTTGAAAGTGAAGGAGATTGATGGTCAGAGTGCTTAAAGACCCGGGCGCTTTTTGGTCTCCCTCGCTTCATTGTAGCGTGATTTGCAAAAACAAAACCAATTGGCCGGATAAACTTTAACAGACTGCAGCACTGACGGTACAGGACTGTAGTTTATGTTATCTCCTGAGCCAAGGACTTCCCGATACGGACTTCCGATACGAACTTCCCAGTACGGAAAACCCATCCTGAATGCATTCCTGCCTGAGGCAGAGCCTCAGTTAGTACATAGAGGCCTTGGATTCTCGCTCCTAGATAGCCTTTCTTCTCCATGGGAAAATTCCTTGACTACGAGTCATAAACAAACTAGTCTTTTACTAGGCTCCTTTGTAGACCGTCACAAGCTGTTCCTTGCGGCGAGCTCGATATCGTTTGGCTCGACGAGCATTAAATGTACGGCGGTAAAGAATACTGGTATCATCTCGCTTATCATTAGCGAAACGGAATTGTAGTAAATTGTTTATGGTTACGTTGTAGTCTGTTATCTGTTAGAGAATCTGTTATGGTATTGCCCCTAAAAGTGCCTATTCTATTCTAACGCTAATCCCGAACAGGAAATCATTACGTTACACTAACTCGAGATAGGAAATCGTCACGCTCTTGGCGAATACTACAAATCACGACGAGTTCGACAGCAAAGTTCATTATCAACTTATACTGAAATGATATATTATAGATAGAGAAACCTTAAGAAAGAGTTTATGAAGACGTCCGATTGATGGTACTCTGTAAAATTGCCTTTATTGTCCCAATTTCTAAGTTGGGACATAGTCATGGAGCCTGGCAGGAGCGGCGTTGTATTTAGTATACCAATTCCACAAGATGCAATCTGCAAAGAACCAAATATAACGGCAAGAGTAAGGAACGTAAGTATACGAGTATATTGTACTTTGTCTACAGGTAGAGATGTGGTGGCCTGTAAGCAAAACATTAAGGCTACTAAACAGAAGTCTTAGGACTAACAATGCCCTCGAGGAAGAGGAATGTACTATACAACTCTACCTTACTCATCATCCTCATCGTCCTCACCATCCTCATCGTCCTTACCACCCTTATCGTCCTTACCACCCTTATCGTCCACCCCGGGGCAGTGCTCACTGGTGATCTCAGTAATGTTGGAATATGGCGAAGGATCGGTCCAGATCAGATCAAAACTACAAACACAATCAGCATCGGTATGCGTAAAGAGAATCGAAGAATGGAACTTACCTTTCACTGGGGTACTCCGGCGCATCGTCGTCGCCAAGCTCCGCCACAATATCTGTTAATCTCTTATGTTCCCAGCATATTAGGATGTTGCCCTTTCCGTCATACTCATTGACGGCATCTTTGACACATCCAGCGTCATCTCGATCACAGGAAGTATCTACAGTGAGACCTAGATCTTCGGCAAGAGGATGGACTGTATCGTAGGGACGGGCCCGCTTGCCATCTGTTACTCGTAGTCCGCATTAGTGAATTGTTTCTGGTATTTCCGTGCCTAGACTACGCTAGACTAGCATAGAGGATGAGACAATGTATACTTTTCTTGGGCTTCTGCGCCATGATATATCCAATCTGGTATGGGGAATCCCCGCCAAAGACGTTCCTCAGGCATTGCGACCGCTTGAGGCCTTGAGCATTGAGACCAGTACCACCGTCACTGGGCTTCTCGCCATGACGGATCAAATACACAGTTGGAGAGGCCGCGGAGAGACCCACACTAGCCAGGAAGCCTAAGGAAAGTAGCCATTTGGAATACATGACTGGATCGAGTGGGGGATGACTTTCCGATAGGGATGACAGGAACAATAGTGATACAACGACAAAAATAAAGAACGCTGAATTATAAGTCAACTGTCTTGTTTATATGCTCTGGAGGGAAAGGCAGCCCCCACGTGTATACGGCGTGGTGTAACATTGGTCTGCGCCTACGCTCGCTGTGTCCCGGTTCCTGTAGCTCTACTTGGCCATGATCGGCGAGGAACTGCTTGAATTGGGTCCGTATAGGAGAAAAAAGTCACATCCATCACTTCTAGTCAGACACCATAGCAGAATGGCCAATCCTTGCTGGTCAGCTTGCAGATCACCTTGTAACGTTCATCGGAAGAGACTGTTTACCCGTGCCCCTTTTCTTCTGTTGGATTGGCTGCTCCGATATTGCCTTAGTCAACATCTGTAACTATTGGTTAGTTGTTTAAGTTAGCCTGGTTCGCGGGTGCATCTATACCCCTGACATCTTCATTCCTCTCGGGCCGCGATTATCTTCCGCGATTATCTTCCGTGATCGGTGTTTCACTTTCTAGAATGTGAACAGACAATCACCGGGCTCCTAGGATAATTGATTGGAAATAGTATATTTTAATCATTATATTGTTTCCGAAACACCTACCCACAAATGACGAGCAATATGGCATTGAACCAAAATATTAGATCGCTATAGTTGTCCAGAGTACGTGGCGGACTCGCAGTATTCGAGGACAAAACGGCGTGTTTCTAAATTCATATCAATGTTTCGGAAACTTTACTAGCTAACTAGGGCCTTGGTATGTAGATTTCTCCACAATTTAATCAGTTCTAGTTATTGGCTGTTAAGGCGGTATTGAATTCCGTATTTTTGCGAGGGGTCAAACATGGAAGACGCCTGCTTAGATTCAGCCGAAAAAAGCTTGCCGGAGACGTTTTACAAGATCGTTAACTGATTTTCGAAAGAGCAACTTCGGAAAAATCGAAAAAACCGCATAAGCCAACAAAATTAGATGCGACGCCCCTCTCGGAAATCTTCTTCGCGAGGACTGTTCAGACGAGGAGAATAACCAGAAGGTGCCAGTTCCTGATAGCTTGAAAGAAACACAGTAGCCACCTTGAGCGTGTCGCCGAGGACCCAGGCGGGCGGTGGCGGGCGGCAGGAAAACGGTACTGGTACCCCGCTTGCCGTCTGATGTACGGAGGACTTCATTGCGAATGTATGGATTGATTATGAAAAACAACAACTTCGACGCGAATCAAATTTTTGAAATTACTCAACCACCACGACAGTTACAGCCTTTAGAGTCGACCAGTTTGTCAATAACTCCAGCCGCTATCGAATGATTCTATCTTTATAGGAGATTTCGAGATAGTTGGGGCGAAAACCCTGTAGCCGGCCCTTTCAGGGGTTCCCGAGGCGGCAAACTCACTAAACCAAAACTTTCTTACCTGCGTACTGAACCTTTATGCCGACGCGAAATCGTTCATTTCGCACAACGAGCAGGCCAGAAAACAGCTACCAAAGTCTGTTATCGACTTCTTCGACCAGGTAGTTACCTACTGCGGTTTCATGTAACGACGGATATTCTCGATAGGAATGCTCATTTAGGCCCTGAGCTGGCTTCGATCAAGTAAACCCTTTAGAACGTCTAACAACATACCTACGGTACCCAGTCAAGCATTCGGAACCAGAGCTACCAATCTTGGGCCTCTGTAGTCAGGAATGCGCCTCTTCCAGCCCATACGATTTTTACTCACGATTCTTCCAGTACCGCCCCGGCCACCCCGTCAGAGCTCAGCAAGGACCGCGAAGTAATCGTTAAACTGCGAGATACTGGTACCCAGAAGACCTACCGAAAGAAGTTATCAGCAGAGATAAAGGAAAAGGCAGAGAGTACAAAAAAAAGAGCTGCAGCAACGATTCTAACGCTCTCTCTGGTAAAAACCCGATTCGTTTCCGCTAGGCAACTGCGCTCGGGAGATCTTAGCCTGGCTTTACGTACTGCTGCGGAAGCCGAGACTGCCAGGATTTACGATAAATGGGCGAATCTTATGTTAAGGGAGACTACCCTGCGACGCCCTACATAGGGCGTGGTAGTCCATGGCATCCCGATCAAGTCAATCTAGGACCTGAGTGATCAGGGCGAACAGGACTGAGTAACCAGCGAGTTACTCAACAAAAATAGAGAGGTTTAGAACTAGAAACCCGATATCAAACGCGTGGCCTGGCTTATTTATCCCTCTAATTATAAGAACTAGAAATCTTCCGTTTATCGAATTCTCTGACCCGAGGCATGCAAACGAGGCAATCATAAAAGGGACTATTTAGGCTAGCGATAGCCGGATAACTGTTTTATACGATAGGAACGCGCGGATTCGGCGATACTTCAAATGTCAGCAATATAGACATATAGGAATCGTTTGTTTAAATAAAATAACCTGCGGCCTCTGTGCCGAAGGCCACGAGACCCGATCTTGCGTACAGAGGTCTGCTACCGGTAGCCAGGGACGCAAATGCGCTGGGTGCGGCGAGGCGCACGCCGCCTAGTCAAGAGTTTATACGAGGTACGTAACGGAACAGGAACGGGTGTAAACTGTAGCTTAATATTAGCAGTCCTTATACTGTATCCCGCTTTATCTACAGGATTATCCTTCCGTGGGTAGCGATACGGAGACCTCTGGCCCGCCTAACAGCGAAGAGCGGGCTGCGGGATCTGAGAGACAGAGAGAAAGATGGACCCGGTCAACCAGCCAGCTAGTAAAACGGAATCGTTTTACAGTAAGATTTCAAAAAGGATCTATACTGTTTTATAGCTCGCAGGAGCTTGTTCTTGTGCAACAAGAAGAGGCCCTAATAAACCTAAACCCGGAGATAAACGTAGACCCTATCTCGTCCGAGACAGAACCGTCGATTGCCCAGCAAATTAACATGATTAGCGAACCGGAGACGCCTGCACCAGTGACTCCTACCCCCAGGGGTCGTATCCTGAGCAAGAGGCGCCCCTTCAGCGTCACTTCCTTGCGGGCAACGAGGCAAAACGCTAGATACCAGGTAACGCAGGAAGCCGTTTCCTTTGCCATTTCGCCTACTACAGGGGACACCTCTCCAGCGAAGAGGACCCGAAGCAAGCAGCCAACCTACCGAAGACAATCAATATTAACTAGCGATATTACTAGCGATAACGCAGTAACAGCCCTCCTAAAATCGCCGGAAACATCTCTTATCCCTACACTTACCCCCTCAGGGCATTCGACTACGATCGTCTTGGCCGAGAATAACACGCTTGCCCGCTCAGTATCAAGGAAACGTACTAGAGATTGTTACCATGAATAGGCCCTTACACGTGCTTCAATACAATGTAAATCGATCAAAGGATAGGGTGATGGCCCAGTTCCTCCAGGACCCTGCGGTCCTGGGGGCTGATATTGTCTTCATACAAGAACCATGGGACAACCCCTTTCAGGATTTAACCTATTATCTAGCCAAAGCAATATACCAGCTTCTATACCCGACACGGACGGATATAGGGGACGAGCGGGCACGCGTGTACCTCTTTATTTCGCGACAAACCGACTCTAACACCTGGAAATATATATCCCATTCGAGAGATATTCAAGAGCTTGATTTGACTGATACTGATGGCAAGCGGCTTCGCATCTTCAATATATATAATTGACCAGTCGAGGGTGGCACAGGCACTTTAGGCCTGATCAATGATCTCACTACTAACAATACTAACGACTACGTTTTCCTACTGGGGGACTTCAACCTTTATTACCCGGCCTGGGGCGGCGAGAATGCCGCCCGAGATACCCTTTCTAACCAGTTACTTGATTTAAACGATAGAAGGTACCTAGATCTCTGGCTAGAGCCGGGCATCACTACCAGAGACGAAGCCGGAGCGAAGACTACGATTAACCTGGTCCTCGGCTCGCATGACCTGACCCCTAGGCTCGTTGCCTGCGAGGTCAACGAGCGAGTCCACGCAGACTCGGACCACTATCCTATACGAACTCTTCTGGATATCAGCACTAAAACCCCTGAGGCACAGCTCCGAAGGAACTGGAAAGCCTGTAGTGTCAAGGACCTGCAGAGTTTCGTGGACCTTAACCTACAGAGTAAGGCCTTTCCCTTACAAACGAAATAGCATATTGAGCTCGCTATAGAATACCTTATCGAGACAGTCAATCAAGGAATTGCTGCCTCCACCCCGTGGGCGAAGCCCAGCAAGTGGGCGAACCCTTCATTTAAAGCAGAATGCCGCGAAATGATCAAGATTACCCGGAAATTCCGGCGTGAGTACACGGAATCAGTTATTGCGAACGGCCCTGCCGACCCTACTACAGGCCTCCGGTAGGAACGATACACTAAAGTCAGAAACCGCAAAGGAAAGGTGTTAGCTAAGGTACTGCGCCAGGGCCACCGTTCCTGGGTCCGCAAGGCTACCGAATCAGGCCCTCGAGGCATGTAGAGGGCAGCTAAGTGGGCAAGAAGCAGGGAGGCTCGCAGAGGCCTCATACCTACGCTAATAACGGATGACGGGCTCGCAGAGACCGCAGAACAGAAAGTAGAGGCATTTCGTAAAGCCTTTTTTCTCGAGCCACCCCCGGCCGACCTCTCTGACATCTCTACGGCCCGGATATCCCCCCAGATTGATTTCCCGGACCTTACCGAGTACGAGGTACTCCGTTGCATCAGACGGGCGCCTCCCGATAAAGTATCAGGACCGGATGGCATCCCTAATAAGGTCTGGCACTGGCTGGATAAGGTCTCCTCCTTCCTCGCTCTATTAACGCAGATATTCAACGCGTACCTACGTCTTGGGCACAATCCGGAATACTTTCAGCAATCGACTACTGTAATGCTGCATAAAACAGCCTCTCGGGACTATCGCCTCGCCAAATCCTACCGACCTATAGCGCTCCTGAATACCCTCAGTAAGATCCTGGAGGCCGTAGCTACAGTACGGATCGCCTGGGCCCTGGAGGAGCGTAATCTCCTACTCAGGAGCCATTTAGGGGGCCGCAGGGGCATCTCAGTCGACCACCTGATCCAGTTGCTTCTTGACCAGATCTTTGAGAGCTGGGGCAAGGGCCGGAAAGTCAGTATGCTACTCCTAGACGTAGCTGGCGCCTTCGACAATGTCTCGCATATACGGCTCCTCCACAATCTACGTATGTTAGGGCTCGACTTCTTTACTGGCTAGCTCGGATCTTTCCTATCAAACCGATCTACAAGGTTGCAGTTTCCCGGATATCTCAGTAACCTTATTCCAACCCCTACCGGTATCCCCCAGGGGTCCCCTATATCGCCGATCTTATTCTTCCTTTTTAACACCCCCCTTATTCGCGCCCTATTAATTGACGGTATCGAGGCCCTTCGGATCCATCCACCCCTCCTGGAGGGAGACAAGACGGTCCCCTACGGGTGGATTGACGATGTTGCTACCCTGGCCATCTCGGATAGCTACGCGGTCAACCAGCGTCTTCTAAAGAGGGCCCTGGATAAGGCCGCGGTATGGTCAAGGCAACATTCGTCCAAATTTGCCCCCGATAAGTTCGAACTCATCCATTTCAAGAATCCGCTTCGCCCTGATCCTGCGGTAGAACGACCCGTACCGCAGGAATATATATATACCGAGCCGTGGCAGGGAGAGGACCCAGAGGTTGACAACTGGGATCCCCCAGTGGAGTACGCCAAATACCTAGGAATCTGGCTCGATAGGACCCTTTCGTTCGACACTCACAGGGCCAAGGCCCTTGCTAAGGCGAACAGGACCTTGGAAGCCCTCCGCAGCATCTCAGGCTCGACCTGGGGGACCTCCCTGCTGAACATGCGCCGCATCTACCTAGCAGTGGTAGTCCCTCAGCTGCTCTACAGGGCGGCTGCCTGGTATAGCCCTACGAGCCAGACAGTCAACTACAAGAAGCTCCAGAAGACGGTCAATGAATTTCAGAAAATTCAAACCCGCGCAGCTATTCTTATCAGTGGCGTATTCCGTAACACGGCCTCAGCTGCACTAGAGGTAGAGCTTTACCTTCCCCCTATACGAATACAGATGCAACAAGCCATTCAGGAAACGGCCATTCGGATCCAAACCGGGCCGGCCATGGCCTGCCCCCGGGGGCTGCGCTGGGAAAGGTTAAAGGAGGTATTCAAGGCCTCCGGATACTCTCCGATGGAGGCGCTGAAGTGGAAGAAAACAGGCCCGCTATATGGATACGGCAGCAGGCAAGAGGAGTAGAAGACCAGACGGGCTCATGTATTGGCCCCGTAGGAGTTGCCCCTGAGGTGCATCATTGAGGGGGCAGAGGAAGCAGTTCAGACCCACGATAGAGTCTGCCGCGAGGACCGACAGATCTGGTATACAGATGGAAGCAGCTATCAGGGGATGATCGGAGCCGCCGCGGTCTCTATTCGAGCAGGCAAGACCGCCAGGAAATACCTAGGAACGGAACTGGACTCTACGGTCTACGTTGGGGAATTGGAAGGGACCCGAATGGCCCTAGATCAGGCAAAGCCTATCCCGATCACGGTTTTCTCAGACAGTCAGGCGGCTATTCAAGCCGTGCGCAACCCTGGCCGGCCATCGGGCCAGTACGCATTGCGGGCTATTTATGAGAGGATCAGGACCCTGCGGAGCGAGGGCCTAGAGGATGCTGAATTACGCTGGATTCCCGCTCACATCGGGGTATGTCACACCCGCAGGCGATTCGCTACGTCGCCAAATTTATGCAACAAACAGGCCTCTTTCAACAATTCCTATTCGCTCGACTGGACGAGGAGGACGACGAGGAGGCTCCAGAACCTACCAACCTGCTAGAAGGGCTCGAACTAGGCGAGGAAGACGATGGTTACATGGAACTCTAGGGGGTGGCCTGGGTCAGGCCGCTACCAGTGACGCATACCACTCACGAATCACCTATATAGAACGAGGCGGAAGGAGAGACAGTGTCAGGAGACGTAATGGGCTGCAGGCGAGTGGCAGCCGGTTTAGTTGCGTTGCTTTATGATTTATCTACTTCGTTTGTGGGTTTATATGGCGTAAGGGCTCGAGATTCTGCTTCATTCGGCGAAGCGCCTGCATAGCCTGTCGTTTCAATAGATAGGCTCCATCAGGTTAATAGAATTTTGATTGATTGATTGATTGATATTAGGTATGCAAAACGGCAGAAGACCATCAACGAATTCGAACGAATCAAGACGCGGGCGGCAATACTTATTAGTGGAGCATTCAGAAATACTGCTTCTGTAGCTCTAAGAACAGAGCTGTTCCTGCCTCCGGTCCGCCTACACATGCAACAGATGATTGAGGAGACTGCAATCCGGATACAGACCGGACCGGTTATGGCCTGTCCCCGGGGGGTAGTCAAGAAGAGGAGCTCGGCGGAGATAAAACGGTCAGGGTGGTCCCCCATGGAGGCGCTGAGGTGGAGGAAGGGGGGCCCCCTATGGAAGCAAACACTCGTACGCCTCGCTAAGGCGGCAGACTAAAGCAGACGTCATAACTGCTCTTCAAAGATATTGGCAGTCTACGGCCCCTCAATCCTACCAAGACCTTTGGATTACCAACTTCCCTAGATGCCCTGCAGAGCTAAAGCTCCCAAGACCACTCCTAGCACGGATTCTAACTGCTCGTACGGGCTACGGAGACTTCGCAGCCTACCACGAACGGTTCAATCATGAAAATGCCTATCTTTTCTGTCGCTGCGGTTCAAGAAAGACTACATTACATTTCCTCTTCTGCCATATAGCAAAGAGGCGCCTGCCCCGACCTCCAGGGTCCCCTTCTAATATAATCCCTTACCTGCTTGGCACCCCTAAAGGCGCAACCGAGCTGGCTGCGTGGCTTTCAGAAACTCGTTTCTTTGAAGATATATGCACCCGGCATCCATTACCTCAGCTAGACTGAGACCCCCCCCCACCAAAAAAAAAGATAGAGGTAGTAGGATAGGTCATAGAGATTAGGAGGACCTCTGCAGCTGGCATTAACTTCTGCCTGATCCACAGGCTCTGCTTCTTGACTGCAGCAGCTATTTAAAGCGCTAAAGTCCCTTATTCTGTACTTAGAACTAGAACTAGAACTAGTTAGTGATGCCCAGGGCTTACCCCCTGGCGGCCTTTGCCCCAACAGGGGACGGTAGGACACGTGCTTAGGCGGTGTCACACGGCCATAAAATACAACCAAAAAAAAAAATAACTAACTAAAGCACTAAAGCTTAATAAAAGTTGTGTTGATTTGCACTACCCCTCGGCAGGGCAATTCTAGACAATGAAACATTTGATGTTCATGCCCTTCAAGATAATCTTCCGATCTTTTGCATGATTCCAATATTAACGTCCAGAATTGATACATTGATCATTTCCTAAACACTGATTTTCCCAGAGTGCTCGTAATCCGCATGTGGGCGCCAAGGTACTTAAACTCTTTCTCGAATGGGACAAGGAAAGAAAATACAATTAATTCGAAGAGCTTCAGGCACAGGCAGAGGAACACAATATTCTGAAGTGTCCTAAATTGTCCTAATACAGGCATCATATGCTCCAGCGACCGGCGAGAGCCGAAAACAAGTTCAGACTACAACTGATAGGATATCCACAATAGCAGCGATATTGGCGCCACAAAAAAGGCGCCAACAGACCATGCTGTATCCCAACCGAAAAGGAACCTAGCAGCAACAACCACGCCTGGCAATATAGCGACTAACAAAGACAAAGTGACCTGACGCATATCTAATGTCCAACCTTCGCCGATTACTATTCCTCTGAATCCGATATCTCTCAAAGCTGGACAGTGTTAACTGTTCCAAGTCTCCGTTAGGCCCAGGACATCCCTATCATATTTATGTTAGAATTTGCGTCACTTGAGATGGCTTTAGTTATCGCTCTGTATCGCTCACCGGTAACTGTACAGAAGGTTTTCTTTTTCGAGAAAGTCATTCAAAGCAGCAAGGCCGGGGTTGGAGAAGGCGTATTTCATCAGGTGCAGTGTATCCAAGTGTAAAATATTCCGTCTAGCAGTACTATTTGTTTCTTCTGGGCATTCCCTAGCATCATCGAAGCATGGCAAACAAGAAAAACATTTGCAACCATAGCTACATTCCACAGTTCCCGTGTGACGATCGTAAAAGCAGTCCGATATGGGAACACAGTTATCTAGAGTCAGTTGCAATTCTTTTCTCTCGGCGGGAACGTCGCGTTCCGTATATTTCGTATACATCCCAATATATTCGCAATTCTCTCGGTCTTTCGAGGCCTCCTTCGATCCCAGAAGTGAGATCTTGGTGTGGTAATCAGTGATCCTTCTCAGAATGACAAGATTCCAAAACAAACCTTGGCAGCGTCAACTCATGTGACACTATATCCCGGCAGACGTTTCCTCTAATATCTTCTGCGCGCGTACCAAGCTCTGTGTATCTCTTTCCATGTTTCTATTTCATCTTCCGAGTTTGAAATTGGTACAGGCAATATTGAACAACGGGAGCTTTCGCCCCAGCACAATAGAACCATAGGAGATCCATTTTCTAGAGACATTGAGCTTAACACCCTTTTCAAGGCTTCTACCCGTATATTATGTTTCTTCTTCAGGGTATCATGTTTCTTCTCCCAGTTATCAAAAGTGGGCATAGTTGATCTATATGAGCCTGTGTTGTCTTCTTCTCTATATTCCTCGCGTTCGTTATTACATTCGTCGACTCTAGCGGCACCAGGGCGGTCTTTGGGCAAAATGGATTCTTGAATACGGGTGCGACTATCTCGTAGAAATTTGGACCTGCGTCTGTATAGAGTAGTATCTTTCGGGAGTAGAGTTGGAACTAATCCGGGTAAAGCATTGTTCGTGATAGGCAAGAATGGCTGATCTTGGAGGAGAAAGGAAAATAATCTAGTAAAAAGTTGTTGTCTAATGTCAAGGTGCTGTCTCTGTGTAGGACGGAGATCTAAGATTAGGTTATATGCTTGATCGTCTGTACAGTTATCTGAAGTTTTTCGTGCTGGTAATGTAACTTTGGGGGGAGGCTGAAGATAATACATTTTCATCGATGAACCAGATTTGTAAGAGTTCTAGGTTGAATATAAATATCACGAATTATCAGCCTTGTCGAGAAAGCCTTGAGGCTGTGTCACCAGAGATTGCTTCGTGGTGTACGTTGATTGGCTCGTGTACTTGCAATAATGCAGTCATGTTACTGTCTGCCTTGGGCTCATTGCATAATTAGGCTGCAGGGATTATTGCGGTCGGCAGCCCGAAAGCTTTAACGCAGATTTCTGGTGCAGAGGGTGGTGGTGTAATAATTTCCAACGGGATTCATTATCCATGGGTTTACCCTGCCTTGTCCAGTCGAAGATGTCAAATCACCCGCTTTCCCACCACATCGTTCCATCCCGCTTCAGCGGCTACGCATATATGCGCAGCTGGCGAAAGTCTACCGCTGCAAGGCTACAAAACCACCTTGACTAAATATATGAATGACAAGGCCGCGATGATCAGAACTCCTACCTGGATAATACGCGGAATTTAATCTCTGAAGCTTGGAATGTTCCCTACAATGACGTGGGCTTTGCGCTAAGCGTCGCGGAAGGCGTATCGACGGTTCTTGAGTCTCTGTCGTGGGGGGAAAGTGATGATGCCTGTGTTCATGCAGACGAGTTTCCCAGCCTGGTCGGACCATTTGCTCTGGGGCAGCAGCAACGCCAGCAAACTCAGTCCGGTCAGGTCCACTCTGATGACTAAAAAAATTCCCCTAACTAACATGGTCCGTTACTATCGGGGGGATAATCTGAAAGAGACGGTTAATGCCAGAACACGTGTTATTGCGGTCAGCTACGTCTCGTATCTCGATAGCACTCGCGTCGATGTATCACTGTTTCGAGAGCTAGCCGACTCTGCTGGAGTTATCCTGCTTGTTGATTTCACTCAAGCTGCAGGCTATGCTCCCATTGATGCATCTATTGCGGATTTTGCCTTTTCTGCCTGTTATAAGTGGCTACTTGGCACGACTGGAGTCGCGATAGCGTTCTGGAATCAAAAAAGAATGCTAAATTGGGGTGGCACTCCCTTTCTCTGGGAGCGGTTCGACCGAAGTGGGAAACAAGTTGTGGAAAAAATACCGCTGCACTAAAAAGGGTCAACCCTTAGTAGTAAGGGCTTATTTCTAGTGCATATCCGCGGCGACACAAGTCAAATCGATGTTCGCAGTGATGCAATGTGCTTTAGTCGAGGAAATCCTGCCCATCTCCCTATTTATATTTTGCAAGAAGGGCTCGGATTTTTGAGGCAGTAGGATAGTAACGATGTTCTAATCCACGTCCATGTTTTGACAACAACGCTTCTCAAAAGGTTACAGTTAGAAGAGATCCTATCCTCCACACCATTGCAGAAGGCCAAACATGGCGTGAGTGTAACTATCTATTGTGAGGGGGCCTCGGAAATCGTGAAAGAGATGACTAAAGTCGGTGTTTATGCGTGGTGTGGTCAAGGTAGAGTACGGTTTAGCTTTCACGGTTATAACTGTCTTCAGGACGTCAACCGTATCATGGATGTATTTCATTCTTTGTGGAAATAGTCCAATGGAAGAAGATTTAAGATGTAGACTACTGTGGTTTAATGTCAGTCATTTCGACACAGAAATTCAAGTGAAGATACATTCAAAGATATAATCTCAAAATCCCCCTTGTCTGATGGGTGTACAGGTAGCGCTGTGATAGTAGCAGCTTCTCATCGTTCACGGAATTCTCCTTAGTAACGTAACTTTTCGTTAGAAATGGGAAGTATGGTGTCATAGAACGCCAAATTTTGAATTCATAGAACCCGGAGTTCTCTCAACCAATGCCACCACCTCCAATCAATCATACCTATCCAATCTACCACCCAGCTGGCCATCATCTAGCAGACTCCCAAACATGGCAGCCTCGAGGAGGTAATTGATTTGCCATGCATGATGTGATGCGTGGGCCATCAGCCAACGAAGCTCACGTATCATTCCGCGGGAATATGCCTTTGCGATGCCCATTTCCAATGCATCAATGAGAGTCGATTCCCTCGTTTCATCCACTTTTCCTTGGCTCATGTACTCCGCAGGTGCGACAACCAAATAATACCAAAGCTCTCTCAACAGAGCTTTGTGATCAGAGTAGCTCAGAAATTCCTCGAAATGATCGCAGTATATATTTCCATCGCATGCATTCTCGAGTGGGCGGCTTAATCTCGTCGTGTGACCATTCTCGTCGAATGCTTCTTCCCAAGTAGCGCATCTTTGATCGATCAACCGAGACCGCACTTGCGATGACCCCAGAACTGCTCGTCTCAAGAAGTAGTGCCGATCATTTAAGATATGCCATGGATATAACATGGCACACATAATTGCGCCTGGTTCCGTCCACTCTCTCGTGAAAATAGTAGCCCCAATATGAGCATATGCATCGTACACCCTTCTCAACGATGTCTTGGAGATAACACTAGAGCTGGTAATGTCGTCCGTGTTGAGAAAACTGTTGAACAGCTCGGAGGAATATACGTCCGACCCCACATCAACCACATCGGTTCCAGGGGCGCTGAAGATCATCTGGTACGCTGTAGCGCCGGGGTCAAATCCACGACTGATAGCTTCGGCGGCTAGACCGCAGATACTACTTTCACATAGGGACACAGCTCGGAGTTCGTCCCGATTGAGCTTGGCTGACAGTTTCGTAAGGTGCGTTTTGTTCCTCTCTTCGGCATGACCTTTCTGCCGTATATATTGCTTGATAATATCCGTAGCCAGTCGTCTCTCCGCGCCTCCCAAAGTGTTCTGCGCCCGAGTATTTGTAGTAGCGTCGCGAACTAGGGATTCGAACCCCGCGAATGCCTTGTGATAGCCATGCTCATAGTAGAACACCAGGTCTACGCAGTAATTGCTGTAAAGTGTTTCAGCATCCCACGCCCCAATTAGCATATTCGCAAGGCCAGAGCCGTGAAAGGCTGCTCGGGTGAGGAGAGGCGCGGCCCAATTCTTGGCGCCCATAAGGTTGATAACAGATTTAGGGATTTGACGGAGTCCATAGCCTTTGTGAGGGAGCTTCCGACCAGCTTGGTGTTCACTTTCGCGCCATGATTGCAGTTCTTGAGACAGACTTAGCTCCCTTAATGCTGTCGTTTTGGTGCTGGCATTGCCCGAAACATGATCGAATACTTCATTGACTTTGCTCAGTGCAAAGTTGACAACTTTCTCCCAGCTCTGCTGACTTGTATCTGGAAGGATTGTACGCTCACTCTGGAATTCTGTCTGCGAATATAGTGGATTCGGGGCCACTGCACCGGTTTGCCCCCAGAAATAGAATTCAGGCGGAGCTTTCAGTGGGTGAGTTTCGGGGATCTCGTCAAGGTAACATTCGATGAGTGTTGTGGTTGTGGACATCTTGACAAGTGCACTTTACCTGATGAATTATTGCTTATTTTAGGTGGATGAGTGGAGATTAAATAACTGTGTTCACTGTCTTTCTTGTTCAGAGACTTTCGGGCGGGGCCTTGGACTTGAATAATATACCCTTATAATGGCAAGGGGGCTTGACATAAAAAGATGAATCTTGTTAGCAGGCATATCTTTTGTTGTATATGATACATTCTATACAGGATCCTGTTGAATGATTAGCTCATGCTGTGACCTCAACTCCCAGGACGTCTGTCAGCCACATTCCGGTCTAAACAGCCTTCACTAAACAAGATCTTGATTCCCTGGCATTATGACGTCTTTTTCAATGTCATGTCTGTTGTTAGAGACTTTCGGTTTTGAATCTTACCGGGGTTTTACTCCCTGGAAGCTTTTTTTTAACAACCAGATTTCGGCAATAGGCCTATCATGGCGGCTTAACGAACCTTGTTTACGGCTGTTTAAGTATTATCATAAGTCAAAATTAACCGCATCCCGAAAAGACTTTTTGCTTGTTCTCTAAAAGCCTATCCTTGATGTGCCAGGATAACAAACTGTATGAAATTTTTCCTGGTAGGGGTTCTTATCTGCACATGCTGCAGAACGCAGTTTATGGAAGGCTGACTAGTTGCCGGTTCTATTAATTTACGCGATATTTATCACTTGTAATGGCACTATGTAGAAACAATTATTCCCATGGTCAGAGTCTATATCATTTATTAAGAACTGAGGATTACGTCTGACTTTCTACTAATCTGAATTTCAATGATTACTAGATCCTTGATTTATACTGGGTACATCACTGAACCATAGGGAAAAACTGTGATTTTAAACTTTGCTATGATGTTAGAGTGGATTCTGGACAGCGTCTGTTTGATTGTTCAACTTATCGATAGACTACTTTGCGTAGCAAAATGTCCCAGAAACGTCAGTGTATATAAATTTGGCGATACAACATTCGGTTTATACAAGGAAATAGAAATCTAGCAATTAGACAATCTATAGAATGGACCAAAATTTGTGTTACTAACGATTTTCTAATTTTCGAGTGGACTCATCCTCTCTAGTGAATTAGAAGAAAGAAAAGGAAATGCTGTACATGGAATCAGATCCTCCGCTGCTAGATATTCGTCCGCCAGAGATGATAGGTTCAAAGTTATTTTGTAAATTTCTTGCAACCTGCTTTTTATCTCTTTATCTTCAGATATTGACAGCTTCATACTACTCAGGAATATTGACAGCCGGCTATTTCGCAGCAGGGACCAACTACTAGATACTGGTGGGAGGAATATCCGCTGAAATGAACCTCGTGTACTCCCTGTCGATCATCCGGTCGTGGTCTATTAATAACAAATAAGCACACTCTCACACACCTCCGGCAAGGGTGGATTAGGTTACATCTGATTCTGCTTATAACCCTTCGGATGATAAGTCTCCACACCAAGCGAGATTCAAACTCGACGTAGAATCTTCCTTCGGGGGAAAAGCAGAGAGTTAGCATTCACAAAGAAGTTACCTGCCCCTCCAACCTATGTCACTAGAAAGCAGAGTCATCCTTCCCTAGATCCCATCTCAGCCGTCCCTCGCTAAACCTCATCATTGCAGCTTGGCATTCTCAATGCACCATTCAGATTCGCTTTAAGATAGCGATCCCGAAGTGCCAAGAAGGCGGCACGAACTGAAATGGCTTCTTCTTATTTTCAGCCATCGCGGAGGTGGGGCCGTTTCGATAAAATCGCATCTTACTGGATATCTGGGATTTTGAATACGAGGCGTCGGGTTGTAGCCCCCACACGCGAGAAATGGTGCTGTGATGCGAGGTGGTAAAAAAAGGGGTCAGGTCTTTGGATTTAAATCTGCTTTGATCATCTAACATTTCTTCTTGCCTGCCGTTAAAAGCACAAATTAATCTATCCTACTCGTGATACGCATTTCACACACCATGAAGCTCGCAACTACAATTCCTCTAACTATCCTCTCCGCAATCACGCTCCTCCCATCCACCTCAGCATGGAGATTCACTTGGCGCGATGACGAGGGTAACCAGTGGACTGAGTCCGGCAAGGGCCCGCACACATGCACTAAGATCCAGCATGCCGAGGGAGAGACGTTCGCTTGGAATAATCAAGGGAATGACAATATCGGCATCTATCTATACTCCTCGTCAGGTTGCTCGGGGAGCCTTGCCGGATGGTCATCGAATATCTGGGAGAAGGAGTCTTCAAGAGACCTTCTTAGTTTTAAGGTGGCGAATGAAGGTGCTACGACGACGGCCGATGTTACGACCACAGAATCTCTCACTGGTTCTGCCGATTCTACGGATACGGTTATGGCTACGGCTACGACTTTGATTAGCGGTGGTGCTTCCAATTCGACTGTGTCAGGGTCTTCGAGTGCGGTGGAAACGAAGACGAAGACGAGTGTACCGACTTCGAGCTCGCCTGCCTCAAAAAATTCAGCTTCGGGCTCTACTGCGGAAAACTCAGGATCGAGTACAACTGCGACAGGGGCGTCGGGGTCGAGTGTCCCGTCTTCCACTGCCTCTGCGACAGACGGAGCTTCGACGGACGAGTCTTCTGCAGCTTCACTTTCTAAACACAATTCCGCCATGGCCGTTGCAGGGTTGGCCATCGGTATCGCGACTTTTGAATGGCTTGTTTAGACCTGCGTTTATGAATGGAAAAGGCGCGATAGTACAGCGGGAAGGTATGCAATATGATATAAGTCAACGGTTTGAGACTACACAAGAGTTCGCGACAGGGTTATATGCATCTGCTTTTCTTGATCATTTGTTGGACTTTTCAGAGCAATTATCATGTTATGTTAATTTATAAAATTTAATGACTGCTAAAAGATGCATTTGCATGGAATGCATTCAACAAAATGACTCACAATCTACCACACATATCTGCACCTTGCATTGACCGTAGTGTAGCACCTTCTTCCGTCTCCTGCAGACATACCCCGATTTCCGCATGCAGTCATCCGAGCCCGACCCCTAAGCAATTTCATGGCTTGGCTGCCAACACGACACTCCCCGTTCTTCCCCGGATTCCATTCGCCCGATGTCGATCTTTTCCGTATCAGGCTTCCCCGCAGTCATTTATCTTGGTTGAATACTAGTTATATTAAACCTGATATCGAAGCAATATGTAATGTGTGAAAGCCAAATCCGGGACAATGCTATGCCGATGACTATTTGATCTTCGGGTGCTATGGTATTAATAGCCCCCGACTTGGCTTTTACCCTAGGTAACTATATAACGAATGGCACGGAGATTAGATGATTCGAGAATATGTATAGCTCCCAGTGGCCTAGTGCGTAATTTCAACTCAGACAAACAGATCCCGTCTCCTCAATGCGCACGCATATACTCTACGCCCTTCTCGCTCCCGTCTCTCTCGCCATACATACCCTCCATTCCGCTGACTTTAATATCGCTGTCGACGACACAACCGGCGCTGTCCTCTCCATCTCCTACCCCAACGACAATGTCAGCATGAACTGGATCAGCGGACCCCGCAACGCACCCTGGCAACCACAAGGCAGCCGCTGGGGACTGGGATACGCGGACGTGGGCAGCTTAAAGAGGGTGTACTGGAGCAATCCCAATATCTTGATCGATGATTAAAAGGTGACGACAACGTACCATGCCGAAACGTTGAAGTTGACCGTCACGAGGGAGGTCAAGCACTCCGGTTCGTTTGAAGAATGTTACGCGTTCACTAATGCCGGCGACGAAGCCCTCAAACTCAACGCTGCCGGGACAAACTCGTTTGCCATCTATGCGCCGTTTAACGATCACTATACCAACACGACGGATGTCCTAGAGCATCGCGCACACGCGCACATCTGGGTCTCCGGGGGCAGTTCGTCATGGGTGAAGATGACGAGGATGGGGTTACTGGGACCACATTTGGGTCTTGTGCTGACGGAAGGGAATTTGGCTGGATATAGTGTTGAATCGAGGAATACGATCACGTCCTAGCCATGAGCTCTCAATTTTGGCTTTTTGGATTGTTTATTCGCAGAATTGGGATGCGGGGCGTGAGGTAAGATGTGGAGAGATCCATCTATATTTAATGCGCGGCTTATGGAACAAAGCCTGTTCTGTAAAATACATTAATACTAATAAACGTTTTGACTGCTTCGTTTGCCTTCCAGCAACTTCTACCTGGGGTTGCAAGCATTTTGAGACCGCAAACGACACGGTGACCCGATGCCATGAGGCCGGAACTAGCACTGACCGCGGGCGCTCACTTACCGACTTCTGCATGCGGGAGCACTGAATCGACCTCCACAGAATAATGCCTTTTCCAGCAGGAATGATTAACAAGAAAAATCCGAATGCATTTTGTTCTATAGGTTGTACTGCATTCGTCTTATTGGTCTATTTGTTGCTGAGGGTGAAGGATTATAAGAAAATATGTCGTCCCTCTGCCTAACACTTACCAGGAAAACGAATATTTCCTGGCTTCCACAATGACGCAGACCCAACAACTTGCAGATAGCACGTTAGAAAATGCCGTGTCATGGCTTTCTCTAAGCGAAGTACCGCCACATATTCAACTTGAAGAGTTCATACAGAACGAGTTTCGTCCACACCTAGAAAGTGGAATCAAAGAATATCCCGACTGGCAGCCGATGATCCGTATTTTCAGCCTGCACGAGAACCCTGGGAAAGAAACGGCTGGAATGGTAAAGGCTTATCCAACTTTATAGGCTTGCTCTATGACATCTTGAACTTTCCAGCTATCCTGTTGCTCAATCCAAGCGATTGGGATTATCTTCCATGCGATGATATGATCCGAGAATGACCTACATTGAGCTGGCTACAGAGAACCCTGGAGCCTCTGGGCTTAACATTGCGCGATATCATTATCATCGATGTCTTTCCTTTGCTGACGAACGAAGTGTTTAACCTTACTATCGACTTCCTTCGCCGCTTCAAGCCACCTGTGATTATTTCATGTCAATGTGCAACCGGGGGGTCACACTATCGTTGGGGTATTGTCGACAGTTCACTTGCTCCGTCATTATGCTCAGTCAAGGGTGCTCGCCGTCAGGAAGTAGCATCCATGTCTGTGGACGAACACCGTATCCGTGTCGTACAAACATTCTATCCTATGGAAATATCATACGAAGAAAACTTGTAAACACGCTCAGATTACGATCAAGTCCTTCGTAGCATTCTTGAGACAGTTTACCGACGCTGTGCAGCATGGAGGAACCGGCATCGCCAAGAATGTGAGGAAAACTTACATTCGGCGGCGGAAGAAGTCAGGTCTACAATGAGAGCCTTTTTGGCCAGCACTACAAAATATCATCGTCTTCAGCGCCAAGCAATCGCTTTTGAAATCGGTACTGCTCAGATGGGGAGCCATGTGGCGTCTAACTGGGCAAGGTTGAGAGCTGATGTTCGTTCATTTGTTGCTAATATGCTGCGGGAGGTTTAATGGCCCCTGATTTAATAGACTTGTTTGTCACAACCTAACCTTAAACTGTTTTGCGTGTTTGTTTTTTAACCTTTTGATTGTCTTTTTGTTTAGCTCTCATACTTCCTTGCGGTGCACGTTCGCTTTTATTTTTTGAATTAGGTAATATTAAACTGAGGGGCCTAAAATAGTTCCGCCTTAGCGATGCTTTTGATTTGTGGTAAAATTGAGAGCATCGTCTGCGTCAGTTTACTTGCGACCGTGGACTACTCGCTGGATCCGACTTGATAGACTTGCTGCTGCTGCCTGAGCAGACTATACATGAATGAATATCTTCTTCAACAGGTGAATCGGCATCACTTTGGTTTAATACATGCTAACTGAGCTTGCCGAGACTCGCTAGGATCTGGAACACCTGAATTGTTCGACCAGGGAGATCCTGAGTGAAACTTACTCTCAACGGAATCCTCCTGCCTCCATTCGCGAACCGCAGTGTTATCGTCGTACCGTACTTGAATTGATGGGTTATATTAATAACAGCGACGAGGCTGTTATTCAAGAGCTATTGATGTTTATTCGAAGGCCAAATTGTCTATCTCATGCCGTGCAAATCGTCATAGACATGACTGATAGCTGTACTTGTAGCATAAGGCAGACCTTTGGTGACAGCCGTGATTGAATGGGCAAAAATTTTCAATGTCCTAACCCTCATTCGATCCATGGTGTCATTGGTAGGAAATGATTTCAAAATTCAAAATTCTGGCCACCATACCGTGTGTACAAAGTCAAGAGACAAACCATGGGGTTTTCATCACGGTTTCTTTTGGTTTTCGTTTCTTTTGGTTTTCCTTTCACAGGAAGATAATAGTTTCATTAATAACGTTTTAATTTGATAAGTGGCTCTTCCCGCGTAAGCATGGCATTTTAACGCCATTCTAATATTAGAAAGCGCGAGGCGGTTATATATCATCGTCGAACCATGCTGGACCTAAGAAAATCGAGCGTGTGTATGGGGGATTGGTAGAGGTGCATATTGGGCAACACGTCACACCTGCAGATAACCACGATTTGACGAACCGCCTCGATCAACCATAAAAGGCTCCTAGCAGATTTTCTATCTCAATCACAGACCGATTTGAGTATGTCTCGCCGCATTCTCAACACAGAAAACGGAACCATGAAAAAGGCAAAAAGGGGATGTCAAAAAAGATAAAAACGAATAAGAATGTGGAAAAACAGGACGCGGCTGAAGTGGCACCGGCAGACGACGAAATGGTCGAACATACATCTGTGACCGACCCTGATATCGAGGAATACCGTAGCCTGAATATTGGTAGGTAGCATTATCGCTGTAATGCAATCTACATTTGGGCTAATTAACCGATGCTATAAGTCCATACGAGGGCCTGTCGGTGACAGTCCTGATTGGTCTTAGCAAGAAACGTTATACTATCCCTAGGCCCCTCCTCGAAAAATTTCAAGGTCTACGAACTCGCTTGCAGACTGCCCTACTATCGGGTTATGATTATTACAGCATGGGAGAAGAGAATATATCTACAACTATCACACTTTCATATATTTACTCTATATCGGTAACGTCCAGACCGTGAAGATACCGTTTGGCTGTAATCAACCTAAACGAACGAGGGAATATACCCGGAGCGTCCTTGCTTATCGTGTTACTGTGACATGGACTGGGTGGGCTGGAGGATCTTGCAAAACAATACATGGCAACGTTTGATCCAAATCTCACCATATTTAAAATCACTTCACTGGCGCGAGAGAACTTCCCTATGATTACAAAAGCGGTTCGTACTCTGATTATTTCAACGCGAGAATTCTGGCAGCCTTCGATGCAGACGATGGGATATTTCAACAAGAGGAGCTTTTCAAGGGATTTGGCAACACCGCAGAGTTTGATAAATTCCTTGCGAAAACTATGGTACTGGCTGTGACAACCTCAGAAATAAACAATGATCTTATTGTAGGCTAGTTTTACTAAGACACTAGGTTGAAGAAAGAAAAAGGAAAAGAAAACAGATTACTGCATCCGGCAGTTACAAACCCACTGTGTGGGACAAACGAGACAAACAGTGCAAACCATGCAAACAATGCAAACACCCCGGTTAGGGCTGTACTCCGCGCAGGGCGTCACACTGGCCTACTCTCAGAAATTATCTGCCCTACGGTGTGGGCCGCCACCAATTCGTGCATCGGCTGCAGAGTCTGTGCCAGGAAATAGAGTTGAGAAAAATATCGTCTGTGATGAACATAAAGCTGCAGGAAAATCTGACGATGGCAATTGCGATGGCAAAATCACTACGGTAACCCATGAACATGTGGACTATTGTGGAAATCAAATGGTCCTGGAGATTGGGGAAAATGACGTCGAATTGCATATAACCACAGAAGCTGAGTCTGTCGAATCCCCTTCTTCTCGGTTCAGCATACCAACACCTACCTCGGACATGAGTAAAAAACCCCTCAAGTACAAGTAAACACCCACTCGAGACCGGAGCTTGAAAACCCCGCTTGTCCAATCTGGGAAACATATTCACTTGACGATCGTCATATAAGACCTGCAAGGCGTGTCGAGCTCTTATTCGTCGGATATTTGTTGAGTTAGTTGAATGATTACCACAGATACAAGAAGTTAATTTTTATATGGCAATCAGATGTAGCAACCAGAGACTAAATGTGGGTAACATAGCTCTTCCAACCGGATGGTTCTCGTACACCGGGTACACACAGCATTTGCAGCACCTTATGAGTAAGGCTGTTAAATTCGGATGATATGTGGTGATACAAAATGCTCGATGAACTCTCAACGGAGAGAAAAGCTTCAAATACTCGCAAAGACAATCTATAACTACATTAAGACTGCCTGTACCAAAGGTAAACAGAGAAACATTTGTATTCATTCGATACTCTTTTGACGTCTACCATGAGCACATCCATTTAATAGCCTCCGTGATAACCTGCACGGTGTGATCGAGCTTTACTGATTGATGAGAATTTTTTCTCGCAGTCTGTGCACCAACGATGATAGTCAGTATCATGTTGCCGAAGACCCGTCTCATTCATGAATGATCTATTGCAGTCACTGCAGTAGGAACCACGATTTTGCCGTGTTCTCCTCGGATATGAATTTAATTGCAGATCGACTGTCGGCTTCCACACGATCTGCTGGGTGGTTTGTGTATTGCTGACAAGATGCTCGTTCAGGCTTCGTGACTATTTTAGACAGGGACAAATAAGCCTACCACAGTTTCTGTTCTAGCTGAAGCACCTTTTCCATCATCAAAGCCGAGAAATCGTATGAAAATGCGGCAAATGTTCTCATGATATCATGAAACTGCTGCTGGGGTTGAAGAGCGGATAAATGCTGAATGGCGGATCTTGACAAAATGTCGCGTAGCTCCGAGTGGGGAGGGCTGTCTGGCCCGTAGACATACCGAACTGTATCGATGAATTCCGGATATTTCCAATTTGACTGAAGGTGGGATTGCAATTTCTGTTTAGACAACTTCATCAATCCCTCAATCTGATACTTATCAGCGAGGGCGTATATCTCTGCATTGATACGTGCCCTGCTTCCTTCGGCAGCGAGACTAGCAAATGTGGCCGTACTGCTTTCATTCGCATTATCTATAGTTGGTGTCTCGCTTGGCTCTGCTGATTCGGTTTGCTCAGGGGCGTCTTCAGCTGGTTCCGTGTAACAGTCGTCATAAGCGGCACGATAAAGGTAATCAAACATCTTTGTAACGATGAGTGGGTCGTCTTCGAGGGTAATCTCTCTTGATCTGGCTTCCTGTTATTTATAAGACGAATCCTCGATGCGAGCTGCTTTCTCGTACCTGAAAATGGCCGCTTATCGCCTTTTTAAAGAAATCCGACTGTGGACAGACAATACAGGTATGCACTTTAAAGACGGACGACTCGCAGAGAACTGTGAGATCTGAATACGTGCCATCTTTCCGAATACTTTAACAAGTTAAATATTATCCAAAATACCCAGGGGCAACTGAGCTTACTTCGTTAAAAGGGTCCGTAGAGATTCAAAATCATTGGCCATTTCAAGGCAACATTTGACGTTGTCGATTTTTAAAATTGGGGAATATACCGGTTTTTTAAATCAGTGCGTGAAATGACGCCACGGCACTCAAAGCGGGGTCAAATGATATATGCAGAGCTGCCCAACAAGCTGCAGTCGCTTTTTGAGGTAGGCCTAGGCTATCATCTGCCCTCCTGCTTCTACAGCTCTGGGTATTATGGTAGACGAGGGCGAGAATCCTTGAATTCCACTAGAGATGAAGCTGCAGATGATCATTTAGGCAATGTGTGGCAGTTTGGAGGGCTTGGCAGGGATGATTAAAGCGCTCCCATGGCCGTCGAGAACTAATAATCGAAAAGACCCCTTAGTCCGCGCAGTTGTTGCAGGAATAAAGCAATTCGTAAGCCACCGGAGGCCTATCTCGTCGGTTGTCCACCCATTTGCGCTTACTTCGATCCTCCAATCGTGTGGTAAATCGAGTTCTTCGAACCATCCTTCCATATAGACCTTTCCTTTAAAGATAATGCAGGTTGGAACGCTGAATCCTGTGGAGCTAATGCATTCGATTGTGGTGACCCATTCACGTTGACCTGGTTGAATAAGATGAGGCCTTCCTGGCATATTCGAACGTGTAACTACCTTAGTAGTTGCAATAAGACCCATAGCGAAGCCTGTCTCATCAAAATTGTAAATATCCTCGTCCTGAATGCCGTGCTCGTCTTGAACCTCTTTTAAACGTTTGAACCAGTCCCCAATAACCTTTGGATCCTCGCAGAGCGCCCTCTGGTAGTTGTATCGTCGAGCGAAGCGGCATTTGAGACTATCATGGCGTCGAATAAATTGTGTGACCCAGTTCTTTCCAATAGGTTGAAGTGGGGTCTTTGACTCTTCTTGGAGGATTATGTTGGCCATTTGCTGCAAATGTGAAGGCCTAGGAGTAACTCCACGCTTATCTCTTGCTTCAATCCATTTTATTGAAGATTCTTGCTGAGTTTCAGAGAGCCGATGCATGTGGTTGCGAAGTTCTGGTTGAAATGAGTGTCCCATTAATCGATCCCGAGGTGTTGAATAAGGCACGTTAAAAACAGCCGCCGCTCGACGAATACTTTGAATTCCGCGTTTTTCAAAGGTTTGTATCGCGAGCTGGATCCTCCCTTCCTGCTCCACCAAGTTTTGATGAGATTGAAGCGGTTTTGGTGGCATGGTTGTTGTTTCAATAGTTACATGAGTTTGACGCGTGGGAAATCGATGAGGTGAGCGGATCGCTCGGGACCGTCGGATTGCCGGGGAATTAAGTTACCGCTTTTGTCATTTTGAAGCTATACAGAACCCCTCTTTGAGCAACACGGTACAGCAACCCCGGTCGGATACCAGGGAGCGAGACGCCACACTGAATTTGACGATATGACTTCATCATTTGATTCAGATAGCACCACGAAGGTTAAAGTCATCCTAAAGGGACGGGATGACTAGCGTAATTGGATTCTCAACATCGAAGAATATGCTGAACGGCTAGATGTATGGGATCATTTCAACCCGGAGGACGATGATCATCCCCTGGCACCCACGAAGCCTATGAGGCCCCAGAATGTCACTGAGTCGAATCATCGAAGGTTCCAATTGGACCTTCAGGATTACAAGGATTCGAGAAACAATATCGCGAAGGTTGAAGAAGCAATTAGATCGTCGATTGCTATACACGTTCAACCGCTCGTCGAAAGGAAGAGACGATTTGAAATACTGAAGGCGTTGAAGCAGCAATATGAGCCGACGACGGAGGAATTGGAAGATAAGGCCCTGAAGCAATATGAAGCGGTTATCAAGAGATCTCCACGGCGAGGCAAAATCAACGCATGGATTCAGGAATTCGAACACGCTTACCTAGCGATTAAACGACTCGATATGCCTGAGGGTCAGGATCATTATATACAGCGAGAGTTCCTAAGTTCGATTGAAGCTGTGGATACTGTATACGCGAGTCAGCACTATTCTAGAGTCAGAAAGACGTCATTTATTGACCTGCTAAGTGATTTCCGATCTCACCTTGCCAACAGCGGTAGGGACGATCCAACGGCTTCAGGTCACCTGTACGCTACGCTCAACGGCCAGAGCGATTCAACACCAAACCCGCAGGAATCGCAGGATTCTAGAAAGAGGGAACTTTTACTCTGTCAATGTGGAGAACGTCATCGGTATAGGGACTGTCATTACCTCTATCCCAACACTCGACCAAAAGATTGGAAGCCCGATGAGAAAATCGTGAAGAATATCAAGGATTTTGCTGCTAGATCTGGTCCACAATCTCAACGGATTAAATCGATCATCGAAAAGAACTGGAAGGAAGCGGAAGAATGATCTCAAGATCACCATGTCATGTCGCTTACCTTTAGCGCTTCGAATGACGCTCCGCTCAGAAATTGTTTTATTATCGATACCGGATCCTCTAAACACGTTTGTAATGAGATCTCGCGTTTCGAAGACATCGATTATACGAAGGAAGGCCAGCTGCACGCAGGGGATTCAACGATCAAGATCCTAGGCACTGGAAAGGTCAAGATACGGCCAAATTGCGGAGGTGAGAAAGGCGATAAAGAGATCATTCTTACCAATGTCGCCTACATCCCAGGCCTGCATACGAATATCCTCGGTGCTAGAAAGCTTAAACAAGCGGGATATGATTTCGATATGAATCACAACACGATTTCGAAAAGAGGAAGAGTCGTATTTCACCTAGAGGAGCACTCCTCTGGTCTGTGGATTATCGAGAAATCAAGCAGCACCCAGTACGGCTTCATGATCAATAATCAGGAAACCAGGAGATCAGCTAGACCTCACGTTTGAAAGGAAGCAGCGATTTATGGCATCGCTGAATGGCTCACCTACATTGGGATGCACTTCGCCACCTACCTGAGGCTGCTACAGGTGTTCAAATCGATGATTTCAAGGCGAAGCAGAATATTGATAAAGAGAAATGTGAAGTATGCAAGGTTTCCTACGCCTTGAGGCAGATCTCGAGACGTCCTATGATGAAGGCAGAACAGTCTTTTCAGTGTGTGCATTCTGATCTTATTCAAATGACTCCTGCATTGAATGGAGATCAGTGGATCTCTCATTTCTATGACGAGATGACTCGATTCCATTTCCTTACCGCTCACCGAAGAAAAAGCGAGTGTGTTAACGTGATTATCAGCTTCACGCGTCAAATGAAGAATTTATTCGGATATAGTGTCAAGTTCTTCAAGAGTGATCACGAGCAGACTCTTTGTAATACAATCAAGGATTTTGAAGCGCTTGAAGGGATTGTACACGAGTATTCAGTAGTTGGCACACCAGAACAAGATGGTCCTACAGAACGCGCTGGGTCAATAGCGAGGAAATTGATGATTGAAGCGAGATTACCTCGTGATCTTTGGCCCTGGGTCAGCTCAGCAGCAGCGAATATTGCTAATCGTACCCCAACCGCCGCTTTGCAGTGGAAAACCCCTTATGAAAGAATCACGGGACGAAAGCCTGATCTTTCTGGATTTCGAACGGTTGGTTGCATTGCCTACACGCGACAGGATCAGGAGAGGAGCGACAAGATGGCTCCCCGCGCCTATAGAGGTGTTCTCCTAGGATTTGTGGCTTCAAATATCTGGCACATATGGAATCCGAAGGAGCAGCGTGCAGAGGAGGCAACGGACGTAGAATTTGATTAGACGAGGCTATACGATCCTACGCAGCCGTTTCTTGAAGACCTCATTAGCGAGTCGTCACTTGAGCCACCCACAGAGGTGCTAAACCTACCGAGAGGCGAAGGGATCTTTCTTGAAGAGAATACGGACCAGACAGAGTCCGCAGGAATAACGGGATTGCCAGAAAACGTGCCGGATTCAGCTTCAAACGATGAAATCGGTGAGAAATCAGATGGTGGAGAGGTTGCAGAAGGTCAGGGGGTGATCCCTAGTGGTCAAACTGAGCACCCCGCGCAACCAGGACCCCTACCAACACCTAAACCGACTCCTGAACCCAACGCTGAATTTCACGATAATTTGACCTCGGACCAGCGCCGCACCGATACGATTCCGGGAGGATTTCCAGAACGTTCAGACGATCCTCCACGAGATGAATCACCTTCACGAATTCTGCAGGATTCGCTGCAGATCGCTGCCTCGGCAGACAGGGACCCTCCACTTGAGCAAACCACTCAACGTGACGATTTCGAGATGCGGGAAGATCACGATTCACAACACTCATCGAGATCAAGGGGTAGAAGACGAATAGGTCCTACTGATGATGGAACTCGTGAAGAGAATATCCTACGTACGAGAAGGGCCCCAAAGCCAAAGAGGGACCCCCAATATGTCAGCCACATGACCGTTGAGTCATTTGTTGAAGCTCCGAGGATCGAAAAGAGCTTCTTTATAGCTATGAATCTCGCAGAGAGAGAGAGATACTGGCACCGAAGCGATCTTCCTCCGCCGAATTCCTATACAGAAATACTGCAACACCCGCTCAAGAACGAATTCTTGCATGCTGCGCATATTGAAGTGGGTAATCTCAAGGCAATGGATGCCTTTGACCTTGTCGAAATCGACGAAGCTCGAAATTCGCAGATCCTTCCACTAAAATGGGTCTTCACATACAAATTGTATGAAGATGGCAATTTCATAAAAGCGAAAGGACGTATCTGTGTGATAGGAGACCTTGAAAGGGACACGGTTGGTAATAATTTTGCTGCAACAGCGTCCGCGCGAGCGTTCCGCGCAGTCATGGCACTCGTGGCAGCTTTTGATATTGATACTGATCAGAAAGATATGAGCTACGAGAGATGGGAGAGGTGAGCTGGTTCCTAGGAGTTAGAATCATTCGAGATAGGCCTCGCAGGAAGCTCTGGCTTTGTCAAGACGCTTATCTATCGAATGTCGCCGTGAAGTCTCATCTAAATGATCTCACCAGATGGCCGGATACAGCTCTATCGAGTTCTCTGGATCTCTCGCCCTACGATGGTCAAGCAACGGAGGCGAAGATAATGGAATACTCCATGAAGATAGGATCCGCTCAGTATCCTGCAATGATCACACGGCCTGATATTGCACATGCAATAAGCCGCTTATCTGAAACGCTGAAGAACCCGTCTCCAGACCATATTCAAGCCGCGAATAGAGTCATCGCCTACCTCTACGCAACTCGATTTCTTGCGATTGAATACGCCGCCGATTCAAACATCAAAGAAGTGATAGTAATCGGATCAGACGCCGCCTTCGCAGACCGACCTGATCGCAGTTCGGCAGGATATCTCGTCAAGCTATACAACGGCCCGATTGAATGGAAATCAGGCAAGCAGCGCGCCGTTACAACTTCTACAACTGAAGTAGAGTTTCTCGTTCTATCCGAAGCCGCCAAGGCCACCTACTGGTGGAGCAGAGTTTTCAACACCATGGGGTTCGATCCCCAACACGAAATGTTCGTTTCTTGTGACAACCAGCAAACCGTTCGACTCGCCAATTGAGAAGACATAGAACAGAGTTCCAAACTACGTCATGTTGATATTTATCGGTCATGGCTTCGTCAGGAAGCTCAGAGAGGTGATCTACACGTGGAGTGGATCCCTACCGATCGAATGATCGCTGACGGCCTCACGAAGGCCCTCCCGGCTCAAAAATACCACAAATTTATAGAGATGTTGAATCTCGTCAACATCAAAGATTTCATCCTTGCCCAAGAAAGGAACTAATTGCATACGCAAGGCGCTGAGGGATGTGTGGCTGCGGGAGTTGACCGGACAAGGAACTCTCGGCAAGGATGAAAAGCCATCTTCAAAATCCATTCGAAAACACAGGTTAAAGAATCTCATTTCTTTGATTCGTGCACGAACTATGGCTTTTGTGCCTGGCCGTTGGGATGCCATGAGGGTAACTGCCATGAGAGGTTCTGGGCGGGTGACCTTGCTTTTAAAATCTTCAAGTATATCCTCACATCGATCCCAAACAAGGTCATCATGGTGCAGCTTCATGTGGGATATATATTATGAATAGGCGGTGGGCAAATGGTACTGGTAACACAGTTTAAGCAAGGGAGAATTCAACAATATACAAATGTCTTCCCATGAGGTGATTTATCAAATGGATATTAATGCATCCTTACACTGCGATAGATATCAACGATTGCAATTCGTCGTCGTCTGCACGCTGCATCTTGACCATCAGCTCATGCACGCGTTAGTCAATAATTTCAACGATCCGATTCATCTGTTCCATCCTCCCAGGAGCGCCGTATGCCACCGTCATGGTTTCTACATGTATGAAGATCCCGGTAGGGCGGGCGACGTCCACCATCATATGCACTGATATGTGCTACGTAGAAGAAACACCTGGACCATCAGCATATTGCAAATATCGAGTTTTAAGCTAGATACAGATGTCATTGGCGGGATACGAGGTCATTCCATATCCGCTATTCACATTGCTGGGAGATCTATTGCCATAGCTTGAATAAGGATGCTCTACAGATTCAAGCAAGGCATTGCGAGAGGGATGAACCCCGTGTTTGATGCTTCTCTTACAATGACCATGGATATGTTGCATGCGGAATCGGCAAGGGAAAAGAATTATTTGTGAACCGTTGATGTTTCTGCTGATACAGATTGAAGTTAAACAGGTGAAGCTGACTTTTTGACGAATGGCCTTATTACCAAATACCAAATTACAGCATATAAGCAGAAGATGGAGGAAATGTTGGAGCAAATAATGTATTAATCCGACTGGTACAAGTTGGTGGCAATTTATCAATACTTTTAGGGGGAAGTCATCGACCCCGAGTCATCGCTAGTTCTTCAGATCTGCAGCCAGCAACCGCCCATCAACCTCGCATGCTATAGTCGCCAACGTCTCGCGCAGCAGCTTACGATTTCGATACACGAACCAGTGGTCCCCGTCAACTTCGATTAGATTAAAACCCTTAGCATGCGTTTTCCAGGCAGCGACCTCTTCCGGGTACACGATATCATCCTGACGGGCGGTAATTCCCGTGATGGTTGTATCCAACGGCTCCTCCTCCTTGAAGTGATATTTGAGTAGCAAAGGCACATCCTGCCTTATCAGGGGCAGAATGGAACGCATAAAGTCCGCATTTTCCACGTAGCGTGCCACAGCAAGAAGATACTCGGGCTGGATATCCTCCCGAAAAGATTCGACCAGGATATCTCGCTTTTTCCAGGTGCTTATTAGGTGTGGCGCGATAGTACCCGTGACTAGCAGGCGTGGCAAAGGATGGTCCCGTCGTCGTAGAGCACGAAGAACTTCAAAGGCAATAATCCCTCCGAACGAGTGGCCCCAGATGATATGAGGGATCCCAACTACCTTTTCCATGTCTTCCAGAATGTTGGATACGATCTCGGATACGCTGGCAGCACGGGGTTCGTCCGCGCGCGTCTCAAGCCCAGGTAGTTGCACGGCGACCAGATCTAATCCCTCTGGGGGATCCATTAAGAATGGATTGAAAAGAGATGCGCCTACACCCATCGAGTGGAAGCACAGAACACGGGGGCAGCCGGTATTGACAGGATTACCACGAACGAACCAAGGTGATGAAAGCCTGGTCAGTCCATCGTAAGATGTGAGTTCAGACTGTTCATCTCCAGTGTTGGTAGGGCCTGCTGTCAACGACTCGTTACGAGAAATCCCATCTAGATCCGCAGCAATCTCATGCAGGCTTGGTCCCTGGAAAAGCTTTATAAGAGGATATGGTACTCTTATCTCTCGGAGGATCAAGCTTCGCACCTGCGTGAGAATCAGAGAGTCGAAGGAATAATGGTCGATCTTTTCCGTTGGAGAGATACGGTTAGTATCCACTCCTAATATTCTCGCCAGTCCTGATTGCAATATGTCGGTGATCGCCTGGATTCGCTCTGGACCCGACAGTTGAGATGAAAGTCGCTTAGACTCGTCACTCTCCGCTACTTCCTGCTGTTTATCTAACCCATGATAAGCACCATCGATAGCCAAATGGGGATAGGCCTTAAAGAACATTGACCAGTCGATGCTTGCAGCCAGGCTCTGGGTTCTGCTATAAATAAGGGAGCGCTCGAGAGCAGATAAAACACGTGCAAGACTCATTGTCGATTGCCCCTCGGATTCTAAGAGCCTTAGTAATGAACGATTTTCGGCATAGAGACGACGAGACATGCCGGCGTAATCCCCCAAAACGCCGAGATTAAGCGAGATTCCGGGCAGACCAGAGGCTCGACGATGGTGAGCAAGCCCGTCAAGGAACTGATTTGCTGCCGCATAGCCTAGCTGGCCGTACCCGGCGACAACACTGCTAATAGAGGATATGAGGACAAAGAAGTCGAGGCGCATCCCTTGTGTCGACTGGTGCAGATTCCACGCGCCCATGGCCTTCGGAGAGAAAGCTTGCCGGAAACTGTCCGTTGTAACATTATGGGCAGAAACTGCTGTAAGGATGCCGGCACAATGAATAACACCTGCAATGGGTGGCCAGGGCCTCTGCTGCTGGAATAGGAAGTGAACTGTTTCAGCGTTACTGATATCACCAATTTCGATGTGGATCGTAGTTCCTCGACGTTGCATATCTGATAGGACAGCGTGATCTTCGGTAGACTTTGGCCCTGTCCTGCTGACAAGCACGAGATGTTTTGCTCCTCGCTCATCCAAGAACTTGGCCAGGCGCAGTCCTAATCCACTTAGACCGCCGGTTATGACATAAGTCCGACCTTCGTGTAATTTGAGCTGCAATGGGGGTGCTGCTTGGACATATACCCCAGCCGACATTTCCACCGCGGCCTTGCCGATAACGGAAGACCGTGAGAGCTCCTTAAGCGCCGTGGGTAGCGCGGTGACTGGATACGTGGTAATCGGTGGGGGCATTAATTTACTGCTATTAAACAATTCACACACCTCGTTAACGAGTTGACGGTGTAAAGCTGGCTTTTGTGCCGCCAATCGGTCGACGTCAACGGCGAAAAAAGAACCGTTCTGTCTGAACTGTTCCAAGCTTATCCTCGTGTTTCGATAGATGTCTGTCGTGCCAATTTCTAAAAAGCGTCCGAATGGAGCAAGGCATGCCACTGACTGTGAGAACATGGCCCCAGTCAGACAATTCAGCACCACATCAACGCCCCGACCCTCCGTGACCCGCTTGACCTCATCATGGAACGACAGAGAGCGAGAGTCGAAAACTGCTTCAGCTCCCCATCTAGACGCCACGGCTCGTCGAGAAGGGCTTCCTGCCGTTGCGTACACACGAGCTCCAAAAAGCTTCGCAATTTGAATCGCTGCGATACCCACCCCATCGGCTGCTGAATGGACTAGCACGCTCTCTCCGGATGTGAGCCTTGCAAGGTATACGAGAGCATAGTACGCTGTGAGGAAAATAATCTGGACGCAAGCGGCCTGGGTAAGTGAAAGAGAGGAGGGTACGGGTACAACAAGGTCACGACTGGCAACGACATACCCGGCGATGCCGTTGGAAACTCGTGCCATGACTGGGGCACCACGCTCGATGCCTTTCACATTCTGACCGATATCTGCAACTCGCCCGGCGATCTCCAGCCCTAGGTTTTGGCCGCCGGCTAAACTCCCCGAGGCGGCTCGCTCGCCTAGGAGGCCCTGTGCATTCATGACGTCCTTGAAGTTCAAACCTACTGCATGGACTTCAATTCCAACTTCATCCGGACCCGGCTTCTGGAAAGGTTGCTGCCGAAGGACGACGCTATCGAACGAGCCGTTGGGGTCTGGTTGCGCTTGATACCTCCCTCCTCGTGCAGGGAGCGACCTCTGGTTCTTTCTTCCTTCCTGCTCTACATCAACGGCCACTATTCGCCTGACGAAACAGCCTTTCGACCGAAGGGCTACCACCGTTTCATGGCGGCCTACTCGAACTGTTCGCAACTCTGCCTCTAGAAAGGGGATTTGTCGGTCCATCTCGTCAAGTTCAAGATCGATGATGCGGATCGGGCAATATGGCAGCTCATTTGCCATAACACGTGCAGCTGCTTCCAGTGAAGAGGCCAGGGGATCGCATTGTGTATCCTCCGCGGTTATACAGGCCCCCTTGGTGAGTACGACCACCATGCAACTGCCGGTCTGGCCATGAATCCAAGATGCGACACGGCTGAATGTCCTTATCACGGCATCCAGACCTCTTGAAAGACGTAAATCTGGTGGTCCTGATATCAATGCCGGCAAGATGAGTAGTGTCCGACGGTCTAAATTGAACCCCCATTGAGCAGTTTCCCACGCAGCGTCCACTGCCTCCATCTCCTTCTCATGGACGCGTGAACTAGGAAATGCTCTTTGGATCGCAGATCCTAGCCAGTCCCACTGGCTGGATAGTGGGTGTAAGAGTAAGACATTCTCAAAATCTGCCTCTACTTTGCTCAGTTGCTCCTCCGTCTCTGGGTGGAATTGCACCTGGTATTCCACCGCCTGGGATAAAGTTTTGCCCTGGAGACGCTTGGCCGTGAGGCCCGTCAGCATCGCGATGAGCTGACCACGCTCTCCATAGACAAACACATCGCACCCAAGGAACGTAGCGTCGTGGCGAGTCATCTGGATATGCGTAAAGGCCTTTGTAACAGGATAGTCATTCAGCATGACGAATGTTCCCACGTTGCTCGGCAGGTACATATAGCTAGGGTCGCCGACATAGTGTTGATAAACAAACACTGTGTGAAGGCAAGCATCTAGCAGTGCCGGGTGGAAATTAAATCGTGCTGCTTCTTCACGCAGCTGAGACGGGAGCTCAACCACCGAGAAGACCTCTTCGCCCAGGCGCCAGGCGTTTCTAATGCAGCGAAATGCTTCGCCATATCGAAGGCCTGCCTCCTCAACTCGCCGGTAAAATAGATCGGTGTCTACCTCAGTCCCTGACTGGAGGCGAGCCCTTACGCTTTCCATTGCCTCTGGGTTTATCTTGGGCGGCTGGTCGCGCGCGTTGATCCGACCTCGGGTACAGACTTTCCCCGTGGTTGTTGGGCTTGCATCAGCTTGTCGGGTGCTCAGAATGAAGTCGTTGGCGGGACTAGTGATTTCAAGCATCACCTGGGGAGGAAAGTCTTCTGGCGACGCCAGGACGACAGGCTGTTCAAGTTGAATATCCTCCAACCATACCCACTGATGTAGATATATGCTTGCCGCCAGGAATGTCGCTTCAGCCTGTCCAGTCATCGGGAACACAATTGCTCCGTCAACTACATGGTCCGTTAAAAATGGTGAAACGCCGGTGCTTAGTCGAAGATGCAATATGCCCCGCCCGTCATCAGTCAGGTTGGTCGAGTCTTCCAGAAACGGATGGCGAGACTCTGCTAGCCGGGTATTTTGGATTTTGGGATGCTCAAACCAGTAGTGCTGCCTTTGGAAAGGATACAACGGCAGGTCAATCAAACGACCCCTCCCACTATTAAAGGCTGAAAGTTGGGCAGGGATACCCACTGCATATGCAGCACCGATAACACAAGAGAGTGGCTCCACGTCGCTCCCACGGGCCATGGCGGGAAACAGATGAACTTGCCGTTTAGCAGCCTCTGCTATGTCTCTGGTTCCGGAGATCAGGACTGGGTGCGGTCCGATCTCCACCAGAAAGTTCAAACCGTCTTCAATCATTCTGGAAGCTGTCTCCACATACCTAACTGGGCTCCGGATGTTCCTGAACCAATATTCCCCGGTTAGATGTGTCCCTGACTCGACGGACGCAGTAACGGTAGAGTAGAGATTGATTTCCGCTTGTCTCCCCTGGATTGGAGACAAGGCCGTGAGAAGGTCGTCTTTCAGCGGATCCATGAAGCGGCTGTGGTAAGGATTATCTACTTTGACAAAGCGAGCAAATATTCTACGACTCTCCAGGTTACTCGCAACTTTCTTCAAGTCGGCTATCTTGCCCGTGAGGGTAGTCATCTTTGGGCCATTGTAGCCTGCGATCTCCACGCTGTCACTGACCTGGAAGGGCTGGATTAACTTAGCAGCCTCTGTTCCTGAGACCCCTGCGGCCAGCATTGACCCCTCCCCGGCGGCTTTGTTCTGAATCTGAGACCGAAAGTAGACCACGGCCACAGCTTCTTCTAGGTTTATTGCGCCGGATATATGGGCTGCAGCGACCTCTCCGATCGAATGTCCGACGCAGCTCTCTGGTATGACACCATAGAACATAAGAGTCTTTGCTAGTGCAATTTGAATCGCTGCGATCGCCGGCTGGGCTATAGTAGTCTTATTGGTCCTAGTCGAGTCCACGGAATCGTCGAAGATCTCATCAACGATCGAAAAGTTCGCCATAGAAGTGAAAATATCATCGAAAGCCGCCAGATGGTCGCGAAAAACTGATTCTTGATCCGCAAGCTGCCGACCCATTCCAAGCCACTGGCCGCCTTGACCGGAGAATACAAAGGCGACTCTAGAGGGTGTTCCAGATAGCTTCTGGAGTGTCACACTTGCCTTGGATGGCTTGCCAGCGCCGAGGTGATCAAGTCGCTGGCACAGATCCTCTAAGCCATTGGCCGGCACAACTGATATCTGGGGATGTTGATCTCGGCGCATATTCAGTGTGTATGCGACATCTTCCATATATGGTTTCTCTAAGCGCAGGTGGGCAGCCAGGTCTTTAGCGGTATGCGCCAATGCAGACTGTGATTTGGCGGATAAAACGAAAACACGCGCTGCACAACTAGACTTCTCCATATATGCGCAGATGTCATCCGGTGCCTGCTCCAGTATGATATGGGCGTTGGAACCTCCAGCTCCAAAGGAGTTGAGACCGACCAGCCTCTTCCGTTTATCGTCACGGGGTAACTGTTTTCGCTTGCTTGGCACAGCCAATCGCAGTGATTTGAAGTTGATAGAAGGGTTTGGGATTACGTGGTTGGGCTGCGGGGGGATCTCGCCGTAGAAGGTGATGAGCGAGGCCTTGATAAAGCTAATAATCCCAGCGGCACCCTCCAGGTGACCAAAATTCCCTTTGACGGACCCAATCCAAAGGGGTTCCTCCTTGGAACGCCCCTGTCCCAGTTCCTTACCCAGGGCATTTGCTTCGATCGGATCGCCGACCGACGTACCAGGTCCGTGGGCTTCCACATACTGAACCATTTTCGGGTCTACGCCCGATTGGGTGTAAACCGTCTTCAATAACCGTGCCTGCGCGAGGAAACTTGGAACTGCAAATCCATCTGGTGTATATCCGTCCTGATTAATAAGAGAGCCGCGGATACAAGCATAGATGCGATCATTGTCTCGGCGTGCTTTGCTGAGTGGCTTCAGGTACACAACACCCACACCTTCGCTGCGAACGTAGCCATTCGCCGATGCGTCAAATGGCTTACAGGATCCATCTGGGGACAGGAATCCAGCCTTGGACAACATGATGGTGGGCTCCGGTCGAAGAATAGCATTAACCCCACCGGCTAGGGCCCCCTCGGTTTCCTGTGTCCAGATACTCTGACAGGCGAGATGCAGTGCCGTCATGCTGCTCGAGCAGGCCGTGTCAAGCGTAATGCTGGGGCCTTGTAGGTTGAGCCGATGAGACACGCGGTTTGCCGTTGCGCATATCGAGGTTCCCATGACCACATGGGGGCTGACGATATCCCGATGCCCCGTGGCCGTCTGGATAGCCAGGTAGTCATACATAGAGGTGCCGAGGAAGACGCCCGTTTTTGAACCAGAAACCATCTCTAGACAAGTGCCAGAGTCCTGTAGTGCATGGACACTCGCTTCCAGTACCAGGCGTTGCTGGGGATCGATTCGGGACGCTTCTGCTGGATAGTAGTCGAAGAATTCCGCATCAAATGACTTGATGTCGTCTACAAACCCGCCTTTGCGGTTCCGTATAGTCCCATATTTCTGGGGGTCTACGTCGTAGAACGAGCTGGAGTCAAACCGGTCTTTGGGGACATCGCCCACAACCTCCGTGCCATGTTGCAATGTTTCCCAGAACTTCTTCGCCGTGGAAACACCTGCTGGAAAGCGACAGCCAATGCCGACAACGGCGATGGGTTCACGACTTGGAGGGTCCATCTTTTATCACATTTATATTTTTTTCCAAGTTGTTAGATGCGCATAGGTAATGGGTAGGGTGTCTTGAACGTGAAGTAGTCGTAATAAGCAGTAGTCAAGTAATGTCCATGTTTGAGGGCTTGGACTTTGGTGTCCTGTCGTCACTTTTATATTAAACCCATGGCAAAAAGATCATGTCACTTTTCATTTGGACTAGACGTATGACCCTTTCTAATCATGTACTTCCTATAACAGGAATTACCTTTCTATTCCTGTCCATCTTCAAGCTCAAATACCGTGTTTCAACTACAAACCCCGAATCCTTTCACCTTCTCTGTGGTCAGGAAATGTCATTGATTATTTACTTCCTATTTAGGTAGGACACTCTTGTCATATGCAGATCCCGGCCGCGGAACGGGAGCTAAATTTAACTCTGTATAATTTCCTCGCCCAAAATGCGAATATTGGCAGGAACTTTGCCGTCACTTCATAGTTTATTCAAACGTTATCTTGGGTTCTGATAGATTATCAATAGAGTTTCGTCAACTGATTTGCATATGTCAAACATCTCCTGGCTTAATTAAACCCCTGTCATTAAAAAGACACATACAGAACTAGACCTCGCCACGGGTCAGGTTTGGGTCCAACATCAGAACCCGCGTTCCTCCATACCGGAAAGTTCCTTGGCTCAGGAAGTGACAATCCGGAAAGTTCCCTGATTTCAGGAGGTAACATAACCCACGGGCAGATAAGTTTTCGACGGGTTTTCGACGGGTTCTTGGCGAGTAACCCGAGGGTAACCCATGGGTTACCCGTTTATTCCAGAATTCAATTGGCTTATATTCAATCCACCAATGGTAGATCAAACTTAGATCGAAACTAGGGTAGTTCCCAACCTCCCACCCTCCAAGTCTTCTTGAGAGACTATTTCAAAGGTAAGTCTATCTATCAGTCAACAGAGTGCTCTCCATAATACAGAGTCTATTATTGATTCTGATTTTATTCGACCAATCTTATTGTCGGTTGACTTGGTCATTGCCCTAAGCAGATATCCTATCGATTCAACTGAATATAGGTATATGCTCGGTGG